TGCGATCATCATCTGTGGACTCCTCCTGACTGCTGTTCTTATCCTCTGGCTATGGCCTTCTTTGTGGACTCATTATGTCCCAGTTGGAGGCAGAAAAATCTTTGCAGACATTTAATCCAATACACAGGACTGAGAAACCATGGTGGAGGAGCTTTCGTTTGACTTTCATTTAATTTCACGACATATAATGGCATTGGGCGGCTAGCGTAACTGACTTAGTTTACTGAAGTTTGCATTAAATATCACATGTTCATACCGAGGTCAACCGAATCTGCAGGGGTGAAAACGTGACACGTCAAATGCCTCTCGAGATAAGATAATTACGGAAGTCATTTTCAAGTATCACCAATTCCCCAGGTAACATATAAATGGCAATCTTAGGGATAAGGAGAGAATCACAAAATTTAGTCAAAATTTGCTTCGCTTGACGGTTACGGTTTTATATGCGATAATGGATCTCTATTGACAATCTGGCTTACCGAATAGGTTTGAGTACCGCCCAAAACGGCTGCTTGTCCCACAGCATGTACGCTTTCTGTTTGGTGGTCCAGCCAACACTTTCAGGCACTGACTCAATGTCGAAATTGTACACGAGGCGTGCCAATGCCAGGCGCGTTTCAGCCCAGGCGAGACTAAAAAATAATCAGCTCAACAATCGGATGATAAGGCAAGATGGGGACACTTACTTGCGCCCAGGGCAATTTCCGTGACCCAACCCAAAGGGCTGGAAGGCATCAAAGCGGTCGTCAGAGAATTCAGGATCCTTCAGAAAACGCTCGGGATGATATTCAAGAGCTCTTTTAAAGTGTTTCTCAGAGTGGTTTGTGGCCCATGAAGCAACAGCGACAACAGTCTGACTCGGTCAGCTTTTCTAGACAAGAAGCAGAGACAAGATATTGTCAACTCACATTCTCTGGTACAGCATGGCCAGCTATGACCGCACCTCCATGGGGGACGACTCTTGGTAATGCAGGTGGGACTGCAGGAAAACATCGCAGGGCCTCGTTCAAGCAGGCAGCGAGGTAGGGTAATTGGTTGACAGATACTATTGTGATTTCCTCCTCATTCTTGAAGGTTGATCGAACTTCCTCGGCCAGTTTCTGCAGTTTGGCTGGATTGTCAGTCAGTAGAGAGACTGCGGCTACCAACAGGGTCACAGAGCTCTCGGAGCCCGCTGTGATCAGTATCGTAGCATTCTCCATAAGCTGAGCAAATGTCTTCAATAGCATTCGCGTTAGTGCATCAATCAGAAAATGACAGGAGAATGTGAATGACATACCAGAGGTGGGTTTCGGTCAAGGAGTGGTTGGAAGATATCTAATCTTGGCTTTTCCACCTTGATGCGAGCCTCAACCTTTTCCCTCGTGAGGTGCTCGTGCAGGATCTTGCCCCTCAGAAGGGAACTGCCTGACAAGACATGGACAATTCGTTGAAGTCCCAGGTACATCAATACCTGCATGATGGCAAATTCTCTAACATTCTGACTCACAGCTTTGACCCACGGATGGTATTGCTCAGATTCAAGGCCCCCAAAATCAGATCCAAATCCGAGATTTCCGATGATATCGAAAGTATAATGGTTAAACCACTCGCGCAGATTGACAGGGTTTCCATCCTTTGAAGCCTCAGTCAATTTGCGGACAAGTGTATCCGTATATCCTTGGATAATGGGTTCCTGGAACTGCAACGAACGATCTGAAAAGGCCGGCAAGAGCTGCCGCTTCATAGAATCATGATACGGCCTATCTAGCGAGACAAAAGTCTCTGGTGCGCTTGGACCAGCCCACTGGTAGAATCTGTCATATCTGGCCATATCACCAAGCCGCGCTGAGCCTCCATGAGCGACATATATGTCTTTCCATGCTTCCGGATCAATGAAAGACAGCTCGTTGGGCCGGATGCGCACAACAGGGCCATATTTCTTGTGAAGACGTTCAGTCTCGAACAAAAGATCTCCACGCAAGAACTTGTAGTGACGATACAATGGGGAAGCCCGACAGAGAAGGGGACCAGGAAAGTTACGCAGCGGGTGCAGGAAGATGTTATACACCACGTATCCAATACAGAGTACTGTCGTCTAGGCGATAATTAGCTTAGAACGTAGAGGAAAAGCCGTGGTGTCTGAGACATACAGCAGCGACACCTCCAGCTAGAATCGAGACACTAAGCATGGTGGCTACAATGAAGCAATGCTTTTACTGGCGATAGCATGAGAATGAGAACAGTAGATCATCCAGCTAACCGATCTTGGTGAGTTTTTATTGAACTGCAATCGGAACTCATGGAAAGCAATGTAATCCCCGCTTCCCCATTGCATGTCTAGCGCGTTTTAACGTTGTCAACATCATATTCTGAGATTCTCTTATCATTTATGACTAGACAAGGGTTCCCTCTCCAAAGACTGATCTTACGAACTCAACAGCCGATGTGTGCATTTACAAATACGTGGCTCGCTATTAGAGGCTGGGGGGGTTTTGGTGTGAGTGGGTATGCAAGGGAGGACCAACATGCATAATAAACAGGATATGGAAAGGCTTAGAACTTAAGACTTGGAAAGGTCTCCACTTCCCGCAAGAGCCCAATAAACCAACAAGGGTAAGAAGAATCGGAAATAAGTTCTCTTTTGGGACAAGACTGTAGTTAAGTTAAATTGGCCAGGGACATTGTAGAAACAGCAGTCTGATATAAAGGGCCTATGTACAGTATCTAGCTGCTGTAATCCCACTGAACCTTAGCGGCGGTTAATAGTGTTCAAGGTAGAAGTATAAGAGGGCTTCTTCTGGAAGTTGTCGTTCCAAAGGAGAGCAGATCCCTCGCCGGGGAAGGTTCCGGGGACCCAAGAATACTTATCAGAGATACCCTGCGAGCAATTAGTAAGGAATAAATCAAGCATGTGAAGCGAGAACATACCCAGACGGTGATACCAACGCATCGCTTAACATCCATGCAAGAGCCAACGATTCTGGCATATGCATCGGCATTGGTCTGGAGCTTCTGCTGGGTAGCGGGAGTGTTCATTCGAATGTCCAGCTCAGTGTAAGCGACGTCAACGCCCAGGTCAGCGAGGCCCTGGAGGACGGAAGCCAGCTTGGCTCGCGAGGGGGTAGGGGTGCTTTGGGTAGGAGTGCTCTCGCTGGTCATGTGAGCCTGCAGACCGATACCGTCGATGCGAAGACCATAGGACTTGACGAGTCTGGCAATGCGCTTGGCACCCTCGGTCTTGGCGTTGCCGTACTCGAGGTTGTAGTCGTTGTAGTAGAGCTTAGTGGTGGGGTCTGCTGCCAGGGCCATGCGGAAGGCGATGGGGATGTAGGCCTCGCCAATGACACGGAGAAAGACGCTGTCACGGTAGCTTCCATCCTCGTTGAGAGCTGAAAAATTGGTTAGTCTTCCCGAAGTACCTCAAGAGCCTCATCATGAAAGTCAAGCTTACCCTCGTTGACAACATCCCAGTGAGTGCACTTTCCACGGTAACGTCCCATGACGGCGTTGATGTGATCTCTCATCACAGCCTGCAGAGTCTGGTTGTTCCAGTTGCCGTTCGCAACCCACGAAGGGAGTTGGCTGTGCCAAACAAGAGTATGGCAACGCAGCTCATAACCCCGTGAGGTGGCGGCGGCAGCGTGTTGGTCAGCAGGGCCCCAGTTGAACTGGCCGCGGTTGGGCTGGATGGCCTCCCACTTCATGGCGTTCTCGGGGGTGATGGAGCCAATCTCATTCTTGTTGTTGATGATGTTGATCTCTCCCTGGTCATTGCGCACGGTGAGAGCAGTGCCGAAGTACTGCTTGCCAGCGGCCTTCATGGCAGCCTGGAGGCCAGTGGCCTGTCGTGCCTCAACATCACTGGTTGTATGTGAGCGATGCTATCACCATTCTTACAGCATATGACTTACGGAACGGGGTTGGCAACGGCAAAGCCATTGAAAGCAGCCAAGGCCACTGTGGGGATGAGACTGAAACGCATCTTTGCAGCTGGTGAAAGTAGGTCAAGAACGAGACTTGGACTTATCTGCGATGAGTAGAAGTTCCCTAGATCCAGCGCTTCATCTAATCTTATATATTAAATCTTTTCATGATGTCAATTACCTAATGTCTCCCGGTTAAATCGATGTCTTGGTTGTTTCACATCTCGCGGCACTCTTTCTTATCCCAGATGGCTAAAAGCAGGTCCAGGGTCATTAGCCGGCTCGGCATAGCCAAATCAGCAGACTGAAAACGTGTTTCTGTGCAAGCATATGCTATTTGTTTGTTCCTTGCATGATTAGAGTAAATTAAAACAAATAGATTGCGTTTGATGTCATCCAAGGCTTAGTAAAGAAATGCAAGACTTGGGATATGTGCTCAATACAAACCAAGGCCAAACGATATGACTAGTTCTTATTATAAACTGGTCTATTGGTATTATAGAAGAGCCGCTTTGCCACTTTAACAGCAAAAGTCTGGTTATTATCTGTTAGTAAATGACAATTCCTGGATAATGGCCTCGACCCAACGCCATCAGAGCCGAGGCTAGCTGAACTGCCATGAATTCTAGATGCCAAGTGACCCTTCAATTACAGGCTAATAACAACATCCTTGACTCCCCACAACCGACCAGATCATGTCTGGGGTATGGTCATGAGACTTGAAAGCTTAAGTATAATTAACACGGTATTCGGATCGCGCCTGGGGATGAATACGATGATCGACGCGGAGCGTGAGCCTCCGACTACTGAATTCGTGTCTGGTGACTGTGGGGAAATTTACCGTGAATAACCGGCAGAGTGGTTAGCGTTGGCAGCATGGCCAATTAGGCTGTCGGCTGGCATTATTCCAGCTTCTTCGGGCGAGCGGTGAGCGCGTTGACGCGTCCTTAACGCGTCAGTACAGGGTATGTTGACAATAATTATATTGGAACAACTGTGCTCTGATGTGAACAAACAAATAGTCTAGATATTAACAAAAATGAAAATGAAAAATTACATTGAAGACGCATATATACAGAAAGATTGTATCACTAATCAACCCTTGCGCGCTGGAACTTTGGAAAGCTCAGCAAGAAAATCATCCACGAATTGAGCAGCTTTGACGTTATCTCCTATAAAGAGTGCTGTATCGCCGCTTGCAGAGACAGTGACATCACCACTTTCGCCAACAATAACGTTGAAAAAGAAATGGCAATCAGGCAAGTGAGCAACATCAAGCCCCTCAATGGTAGAGACCGTAGACGACGGCTCCGTAGTGGTGAAGTAGTTAGACGCGAGTGGCTCAGGGAGTCTGTACCTCTCTAAAGCCTTTGGCTTATCCATGGAGCTCCCATTCTGAGACGTTACAGGATCTCGTCGGTAGATGATGTTCAAATGCGAATTGAACTTGGGTCCCAGCTCCCGAACACCATCTGCCTGGCTAAAACAATTGAGTTGCGCGAGATGCTCCTGGATGAAGCCGAGTAGCTCTTCAGTCGACGACTCCAAGTTAATAGAGAATGGCGTCACAGAGAGAGTTGGGATACTCGCAGCAGTCAGATCGAGGGTTTGCGTCCCATCAGGTGACGAAAGAGATCGAGAAGCATGGTTGAGACCAAAGGTAGGCTTCGTTCGTTGGGTGAAGTGCTGTAGCGTCCTTGCGTAGGAGAGAATGAGAGCTGCAGAGACCTCCGAGCTACTCTTCTGCAACAGAGACTTGATACTATTCTGAGGGGCGATGCTGGAGCTCGTCTTGAACTGAGGGCCGTGCGCTGATAGATCAGTATGCTCAGTGTTGTTACCCAACACTGTTTCTTGAGCAACGGAAAGATGTCGCCTCCAGTATGTGTCCTCGGCTTCTGGTTGTCTGATTGCTCTGATGCTCTGGACTGCTTGTTCCAGTGACTGACGAGTCTCTTGGATCTTGCCCAGGGTGAGAAGATCGTCGAAGTCCTGTTCAATCATCTTGATACTCCATGCATCGTAGAGTGCATGATGGAGTCTCAAGACAACCGCCTTGCCGTCTGAAGCTTCTAGGAAAGAGAGGTGGACTGGAGGTTCCTTCATATCAGATGCTTTGCTATTTTCCTGGCTCACATGCTTCGCAATCAACTCCTCGACAGTCTTCGACGAGTCCTGAAGGGCTTTGACGCGCGATCGACCTGACCACTCTTCTGATAGGGTGACTTGGTACAGTTCGGCAGGGGTCGCGGCTGTTGCAAAGGTGGTTCGGAGGACATCGTGTGTTTTCACAAGGTCAGACCAGCAGGCCACGAGTTGCTCCTGTTCGAAAGTCTCGGGCAGTCTGTAAACCCACGGGGCCTCGAAAAATCTCTTGCCGTTGTGCAGCCAAAGCTCGAGGTGTGAACGTTGGCCAGACAATACAGGAACGATGGACTTGATCAGATAGTCTGGCTGTCCAAGGGTCTTGGCTATTGCCGACTTCAAACCTTGTCGAAGTGGCTCCGATTGATGTTGGGTGCCATTTGCTGTGGGTTTACGCGAAGATGTTGGGCGCGTGATGATGTCGCGAACGCTAGCACCCTTCATGATGTCAAAAACGCTGACGCTGAGTCCAAGTTGCTGCCTCAAAAGCTTCGATAGCCGAATGGCCAAAATTGAGTCCAGACCAACGTTGATAAGTCTCGTGCTGTAACCGATCTTCTTTCCACCTCGTCTTGTTCCTACAACTGTCTCCACAAGCTTCAATACTGCATCAGCTGCTGGGGTCGAGCCATTCATATCGGGTTCCGTCGCATCGATCTTGGACTCTTGAGGCGGTGTGTTGTTAACTGATTCAAGATGTTTAGTGTCAACTCCAGGTACATCGAGTCCATGAAGAACGTGGTTCAAGGCTGCTTCCAGGCTCTGACCTAATGAGCCAACCTGCTCTTGGGGTAACTTGGCCCTTAGCTTGCCATTGAGGATGTTGTCCCTAATATGGAAGCTCACGATTAGAGGGTAATCATCATAGGCCGGTCCAGTCGCATCAGCAGTTCCAGCCTGTACGGACTTGAATAGCTTTTCTGAATCAACGCTGGTGTTTGAAGAGCCAAGAACTCCGTCAAACACGAAGAGACTCTGGAAGAGGGCTGCTGGTGCATCTCCTCCCTTATGTCCTGATCTCCATAGCGTTTGTATCTTCCTTAGTGAAGCCATTGAGTTGGTGCCTCTCGCGCTGTCGATCTGCTTCTGCACAAGGATCAAGGCTTCTGAGATATTGACGCAACTGCTAGGGCTACCCAACTTCGCTCTCATGGGCAGTGTATTGATAGCGGGGCCAACGATGGCAACGTCATCATCGGCATCCGTCGAAACAACCTCTCCATACACGACGTCAGCTTGTCTGTAAAGCGACTCGCACAGGACCTTGATCCATGACAACTGAAGTGCTGCTTTGATGGTCACGCCGAGATCCTGGCATTTCGACTGGAGGAGCGACAATTCGCTCGTGTCAAAGCTGAAATGGACAACAGATGATGCCTTGAGATCATCAGTGGGGAATTCAAGAGGAGTATACGTGTAATCCCGAACGGCATCTGTCCAGTATGCAATGGAAGCCCGCTGAGAACAGGCAACAGTCCTTGCAAACGGTCTGTACAGATGCTTGGGCTCGTCGACGCCATCAGAGATGTCATTGTTGAGGCGCCGACGGTAGTATTCTTGGAGAATGCTCCAAACAGACTGCATAGATGTTGCATCATAGAGAGCATGATGGATTCGCAAATGCAACCGGCCAGGCATCGTTGGCTGAATCTCCCAGCTGACCCGGTCGCTTTGCTCAGTGGGAGAAACGATACCGACCCACGGTGACTCATCATCATCAGTGAAGATGAACCGGGTTCTGAGGATTTCACATGCTTGAACGGTGTCTTTCACGGCACCGAAAAACTTATCAAGACTGGGTGTATCGTGTGCAAGAGCATAGTCAGAGAGTTGAATGGCATGAACATACGTGTATGCATCGCCGTCAGTGGCCAGAGATGCGCTGAGCATGCCTTCTTGGAGTGGCGTTGCGATGAACATGAGACTCTCGGCTAGATGCTCAAGGTTTCTGTCATAGAGCTCAGTGTCACTCAACTTGCTGCCGGTATGCTCCCCGTTAGATTGCGAATTGACGTTGTCAATTGAAGCAGACTTCGACTTGGCATCTTGAAGAAGCTGCGCAACGCCCTTGATAGTTCGTGCCTTGATCACAGCGTGAGAAGACAGCTTAGTCTTGTGCGACTTGTTGATTGACTTGACAAATGGGAGAACGGTGATGGAGTCAAGACCGAGCTGGTACAGCGACGTCGAGTCGGGCTTGGATGACAGTTCAGATGCATTGATATGAACGAAGCGACTGAGGGCAGCTTGTACGTCAGAGAGTGCCTGATTATAACTTGGAGCATCTATCGAGGTCTTGTTGCCTCGGGGGCCATCGAGGACCTTGGTTGAGAGGGTCTTTGTAGTGAGAGGTGAAGTAACAATATCCGACACTTTGACGGTCTTGTCAGCGCAGCTGTACACAACCTTCTCAAACAGTCGGGCAATATCCTTGAGCTGCTCTACGTTCAATGCTCCGGCAGAAGAAAGTGTCAAATTGATCTTTCCATCAGCGTGAAGATCTACGTCAAATGCCAAAGCCATATCGCTACTACTACGAGTAGGCAAAGCGGTCATCTGTCCTGGTTTGGCGTCACTGAGTTCGTTGTTAGGCACGACGTTGATGCTCAAGAGACTGTCGAACAGCTTGTCCTCCGATCCAGACCAGCGCTGGACTTTGTCGACGCTGACTAGTGGCATGGCACCTTGGCAGACATCAAGGTGGGACTCGTGAACTCGTTGAGCCAGTTGGGGTAGGGTCTCGCCAAGGCTATTGATGGTGGCGGCTCGAATGAGGGTGTTCAGGCATGGACCAACAAAGCTGTCAACATCGTTGGCAGCGCCATCTAGTAATGGCCGAAGTGACATGATAAAGCCATAGACAACGGATGCCTGCTTGGTGAGTTGGGCGAGGCACAGAGTGACAGCCAGCTGGAATGCGGAAGATGCTGATATCGTTCCTTCAGGCCCCAGGGAGTGAGATTTGAGTCTAGCGTTGAGCTCAGAAGTCGTGTACCCAAGACAAATAGTCTGACGAGCCATGACACCACTCGTACTGTTGTCATCAATGGCTCCAACGCGACATGGTTGAACGCCCTGTAGTTGTTGTTGCCACGACCGTCTTGTAGCATCGAGTTGCTCATTCGATAAGTTACAGTGATTCGAGATCGTGGATAAGGTGGCTAAGCTGTTAACCGCAGCAATTGAAGACGTCTGGCTGTTGTATGCTGCTTCAAGTTTTTTCTTGAGGGAGTCGATAGCAACACCGTCGAATAATGCGTGGTGGATGCTGAGTGACACGATGGTCTCGTCTCCGTCCTCGCCGGAAAGCTGTAGTCGGATCGGAGGTCGCGCATTCATCTGTGACACAATATCTGCTGGGTGCTCATGAGCATTCAGAGGAGAGGATGGCAGTGACCGAAGAACGACCTGGAAGATTTGGCCGTCATCTTCACGCTGAATGAAGCAAGTTCGGAGCATCGCTTCCGAGGCGATGACTTCTTCAGCTGTCTTCTTCCATCTGTTGATGTCTGTACCACGACTGAGACGGTAGCTGAACCGTGCGACATATGGAACATCATATCCCTCGGTGTTCTCTCTTAGGTTGAAGGCACTGAGCCAAACAAGAGAACGCGCGATGAGAGCAGACTGGAGAGGGAGACAAGGCAGGACGGCTACGATGTTGGATGAATCAAGCCCCTCTGGAAGAGGACCAAGGTCTGACACGTTGAGAGTCGGGGTGTGTAGATCGTCTGTGGATGGAGGGGTCGACAGAGGCGTGCTGTTCGACGGGCTACCGCTCTCTTGTTCATCAGCAAGTCTTGCAATATCTGCAACTGTACACGACGAAGACAGGAGATGCGTCATCTTCAATTGAGAGAAGCCCCGTTTCCTCAGAAGAGAGACCAAGTTCACTGCCGTAAGACTGTCGATACCAAGGCGCTGAATGCTGCAGGTACTTGATGCCCTAACACTGCCACCGACGGCTTCTTCAATAGCCGCAACCACCATCGACTCCTTCGCACTCAAGCCGGTCCCAGATCCAAGCGCGTCGCCCGAGTTGCCTCCATCTCTGTCCTGATCTTGCTGAGTGGCGATGAAATCCTTTGCCAAACGTGCTAGGATCTTGGTGTCGACCTTGCCAGAGGCGGCGAGGTATGGGATCTTGGAAACCCAGACCAGTGTTGGTACCATGAAAGCAGGGAGTTTGTCTTGGCATTCGTGCTCGATCATGCCTAGTAGTAAAGTTGACTCCTCGCCTTGGACATCAAGTAGCTCAACCTCCTGTTCAGCCTGGCCCTTGAGATTACTGGCCTTCCTAGCGATGAAACCTAGCAGCTGTTGTTGTTGATTCGAACTATCTTTCCCATTGGAAGCAACCGTAGCTGCAAAGTCAAAGTCGCCCTTGTCACTTGCAACTTGCTTCAGGAAGCCAACGACCTCATCCAGCTCAAGCCGCTGTCCGCGAATCTTGGTTTGCTGATCAGCTCTACCAAGGAACTCAAGTGATCCGTCGTGCATCATCCTCATCATGTCTCCTGTTCGATAGACTCTCTTTCTGCTGCCGCCGGGAAGAGTAATAGTCTGGAAGCTCTTGGCTTGCTCGACAGGACGGTTGAGATAGCCCATTGCTACCTGAGGACCAGCGATGCAGAGCTCACCTGGCTGGCTTCTCCTAGCAATGACAAGACTGCCTCCATCGCTGCTGGGACATAGAAGTAGAGCCTCGAGACCTTTTAGTGGGAGTCCAAGGTTGCGGGCGTTGGAACCATGATGTACAGCATGTCCTAAACATCCGATAGTGACTTCTGTAGGACCGTAGAAGTTGAAGAGAACGGCTCGATCGTCTACCGTGTCTGAGTCTTGCGTCTGGGCCCACATGTTCAAAAGCTCGTTCGAGGCCTTCTCTCCGCCAGTAGTCACTACTCTCACTGACGGAACATCTTCAGGTCGTAGCCTTAATTGGCTGAGCACCGAGGGAACAGATCCGAAGTGCGTAACATTCAGCTCATTGATCAGCTCCTTCAAGTTCGCCATCATGGCCGTCCGGTCCTTTCCGATGACGACCCTATGACCAAGATGCCAGGGCACGAAAAGCTGTGTCAGATGAGGATCGAAGGCACGGGAGGTCAAGTTGAGATACTTCCCGACACCACCAAGTCTCGCAGTTGCAGGCGAGTGTTCAATTAACCGGGTGCTGAATGCAGAGATGAAGTGGCAGAGGTTACTGTTGGAAACTCGTACACCTTTGGGGCGACCAGTCGAGCCAGAGGTGTAGAGGAGATAACCGCCAATACCAGTCGCCGACGGGATCTCAGAAACAGGCCAAGACAAAATGGTGTCCATGTCAGCATTCGTGTCGGGGAGTAGCAACAGCGGTGGGTCATTGGCATCGTCTAGTCCCAAGTCACCGACAAGCTCATCGGTTGTAATCACAAGCTTGGCGCCCGCATCTCTAATGAGGAGCTGTTTGCGAGCTGGTGGAAGATCTTCATCAACAGGAAGATACACAAATCCAGCACGGAAAATGGCGAGAGTGACTGCCAGGGACTTGATATCTCTACCAAGACACATAGCTACAGGGTCATCAGGCTGTAGACGAGCCTCATGCTGGATTAATCTCGTAGCGATGGCATTGGTGAGCTTGTCGAGCTGGGCGTAGGTAATGGTCTTGGAAGCAATCTCATCGTCATCTGAGGATTCAAACATGACTTCCTCAACGGCGATCCAGTCTGGATACTCTGATGCGCGAAAGGAAACGCATTCAGTAGGATTGACAGCTTCAGTCTCTTCGCTGAAAGTTTCGCCACTGATAGACAGAATACTATTACTCATTCTGTTCTGGAGCTGAGTCAAAGGAGCGCTGGGGGCCTCGGCCATAACCTGCGCTTGGGCAAGGATCTGGTCCAACAAGAGGTCCAACTGAGCCTGAGAAATGCGACGTCCATCTCCAGTGAGCTCGATCTTTCCATTCGCCTCAAAGATGTTCAACGCAAGTGGATGCTCAACGTTGAGCGACAATGCCTGTCCCACTTCCTTGAACATGGACTGACTAGCTTCGGCTTGGTTGTCATCTGAGGCTGGATGGTACACGAAAAGACCAGGGAATGGAGCGTTGCTGCTACCACTTCCCCTATTGAGCATCCTTTTGACATCTACTGGGTGAAGATTGTGTGTGCTCTGGAACATCTGTGCTGATTCGGTAGCCATCTCCTTCCAGAGTTCCTCAGACGACGCAGCATTAGAGCGAACAATTAGAGGCAATGTAACTATGGCGGGACCAACAAGTCGTGCGAGATCTGGGTGGAGGACTCTCAGCGAGATGGTGTGGCCAAGCACGACGGCGTCGAGTTCGAGATATGAGGCGAGAATACAACCAAAGGCGGATTGGAGTAGTGTTGGAAGTGCAACTGTAGAAGTAGGTTGGACAAATGGAGCAGGGATAACTTTCCTCGACATGAGAATCTTCTGGGCCTGTTTCTGTCGAGATTGAGTGAGGTCAGGAAAAGGTGCGTTCAACGTGCCCCCACTGGCCGTCTTACTGATCTCATCCAATCGGCGACTCCATAGCGCAGCTGCTTCCTCTCTCTTGGAAGGGGTCGGTAACAGTCCCAGGCCGAGACCTTTACTAAACTGCACGACCTCGCTTACCTCCCTAAGGGGCTCCATGTAATACAAGCTCGCGACAGTCTCCAGGAAGACATCAGAAGCTACGGCGTCGTAGAGTGCGTGATGCATACTGAGCATCATCTTCTTGGTGTCCTCGACAAAAGTGACAGCCCACGGTGTCTCTATTGTAGTCGTTGGGGAGAGCTCCAGCTGCAGCCTCTCAGCCATTTCACTCAGACTCTGATCCTCTTCAGAGCGAATCTGAGACCAGTGCAAGCCTGGTTTCTCGCGAATCAACTGGAGGATCGTAGAGTGAATACCCTTCTCACGAGCCCATGAAACAGTGTTGTCGCTGCCATCTACATCGAGTTGAGTCAAGGGCACAAAGATAGTTCGGAGAATGTCGAAGCGCTTGGCTACGGCAGTCCAAGCTCTCTTCAACTGGCGATCATCGACGTCGTCCAAATGGCTGAGATCAAACACACGATGGGCCCAGTAGGCTTGTGGCTCGAGCATAGTCTCGACGATGAGGGACTCTTGCATGGGTGTTGCGGGTAGGACGTATTGCGTATCAGAGGGTCGCATGTTGCCCTTGATGTTGTCAGTAAGCGCCTTCTTGATAGACGCAAGCCATGTCGTTTCTGTCTCGACTGCTTGGGTAGACTGGTTTGCTTCAGCCTCTTTTGGCATTCGGCTGAGCGTGACATTGACCAGTTCTCCTAGAGACTCACATCTCATGAGGTCCAGAACTCCAACTTGACACTTGAGTTCTCGCCTCAGCAACCAAGCAAGCTTCGTAACTTGTAACGAGCTGAGGCCGAGACCTGCCAAACTGTCATCCGGAGAGAGGTTTTCCGTTGGAATATTAAAGTGTCCTGCGATTGTCTGGAGAATGGGTAGCTGATGGGCCGTCCATTGGTGCTTGGCCTGATGACTCGGCCCTTGCGCTTGTGTCGAGTCGTCTCTCCCAGCCAACACGTTGAGATCCGACTCCGCGTAGATAGCCTGCAACGCCTTGCGATCAACCTTGTTTGAGGCGGTCCTCGGCATGGTCGTATCGAGAACAACAACGTGTCCAGGCACCATATACGCGGGCAAGAGGTCCTTGGCTCGCTTGAACACTTGAGATCTGATCTTGGAAGTGTCGACGTTGCCAGTCTTGACAGAGACAAAGGTGACAACCACTTTGTTGTTATTCCCAGCGGGTGCGCCTGGACGCTGAAGATACAATGTCTCGACATGTTCAACCGTAGCGTCGTCGTCCTTCAGACTTGCACACGCTGCGCTGATCTCACTGAGCTCAATACGAATACCGGTGATCTTGACGAGATCGTCGTTTCGACCGAGAAACTCAAAACCATGGTCATTCAATCGCACGAGATCTCCAGTGAGATAGATGCGCTCGTCGATGCCCGGGCCGCCCTGGATGAATGCCTTGGTAGTCTTGGCTTCGTTTGCAAGATATCCTTTGCCGACTTGTGCACCGCCCAGAGCAAGTTCACCGACTCCGTACCGAGGAACCAGCTCCCAACGTTTGGTACCATGTGAGCTCGCTACCTCACGAACAGCATAGGCCGTGCAGTGATCCAGAGGAAAGCCAACATTGGCAGCTTTAGCAGTGTCTCGACTCTTGCCAAAGAACTGTCGCATCGTAGAGACGACAGCGTTCTCAGCTGGGCCGTATGTGTTGTATGCACGAGTCGTAATCTCGGGATGAGCCCAGGCCTCAGCGACGTCTTCTGTCAGCTTTTCGCCGATGAACGTGACGTACTGGAGAGTTGAACCCTTGAGTTCCTGGACGGCAATACTGGCTCCAAATGAAGGTGTAAGATGAGCGTGGGTTGGGTGAGACTTCCAGATGAACTCGGTGAATGTGCCCAAGACCAGCTCTCGTGTACCGCTGATGACATTTCCCGCCAGGCCCCAGGTATAAAATAAGTCTTGTACGAAGACATCGAAGCTGTAGGCGGAGAGTTGTAGAGTGCGGACCTGTTCACGATCATTGTGCTCAACGAGAACTTGCAGGTCGCGCATCGCTTGGGCTGCAGCGCTGTGCTGGATCATGACACCCTTGGGCTCGCCCGTCGTTCCAGAAGTCCACAAAAGATATGCCAAATCCTGTCCAGTGATGTTGGAGATGCTGTTACGTGGCTTGGCTCGAACCAATGTACTGTGGCCATTATACTTGTCAACCAGAATGACTTGTACATCTTTCAGTGCGTCCTGAGCAAGGCAAGGCTCTACGAGAGGCAAAGACTCAGTGGTTGTAAGCAGTACCTTGCTCTGTGCTCGAGCGATAAGAGATGTTCGACGTTGAACTGGGGAAGTTGTGTCAATGGGACACCATGCAGATCCGGCCTTGAGAATGGCCAAGACAGATACGTAGAGCTCAACACTGCGTTCCATGCAAATTGGAATGATGTCAATGTCTTGCTCGCGCAAGATGTTCGCCAGACCATTGGCTCTAGCATCAAGCTCTGCGTAACTCATCTCAACAGGAGCGGAATCGAGTGAAGAGTAGAAGCTCAGTGCCAGGAGATCGGGAGTCGATGCAGCTTGATCCTCGAACTGGGCATGCAGAAGCTGAGCTCTGTCGCGAATATCTTTGGCTGTGTCATCCAAACCTTCTTCCACAACAGGGATCGTTCCCTCAGCAGACAATAGACTTCTGTCAATGCGCGCAGGCAGACTCTGTACCAGGTCATCAGGTAGTGACATCAGGATAGTCTCGGTGAGTGCTTCAAACTGCTTGACAATGCATGTCGCAGAAGTCTCTGAGAATGTCTCTTCGCGATACGTCAGCTTGAAGACGACATCATCAAATCTTCCATTCCTGTCAGGCGAGTTCGGGTTCGTAGGGAAAACTTCAGCAAACATGGCAAAGTCGTAACGTATAGCAGGATTCGAGATCTCAGTCCAGAGCAAAGGCGCCTTGTCTGACCCATGATCTTCGGGTTGAGGATATGCTTGCAAGGCTAGTGCGGTGTTGTATGGGAGTGTCTTGAAGGCGCCGAAGGATGTATGTCTGTGACTTTGAGCGAATCTTGAGTGGTCCATCAAGCTGGCGACGAGCTGTTTGAGAGTCTGTGCTTCAGGCAAGGCAACTCGACAAGGCACGACAGAGAATGTTGGGCCGTGGACAAATTGATCGTGACCTGAAAGAACGCTGCCAAAAGTCACGTCATCGGTGTCTGCCTCGGAGAGGATGTGTAGAAGCATGGCCCAAGAAGCTTGGACGATCGTGAGAGGAGAGCCTCCCAATAACCTGCCCTTACTCTCGAGAAGGTACCAAGAAAGTGAACTGGTATGTTGTACCATGGCATGTTGACGAGTCTTGGTTGAAGTTGGCTTGACGTTGTTGCCGCTGATGGCTCCGAGCGGCTCAGTCTCCCATCCTTCCAGAGCCTTCTGCCACAACTGATCTGTCTCTGGTTTTACATTCAATGCCCATTCGAAAACAGCGTCGTAAATCCCTTGACGTGGAAGTGGCCCAAGGCCACAGTATTGACGAGTGATGTCTGACATGAGCACTTCAAGTGAAGGCCCGTCGCAGATGCAGTGAGCAGCGCTGATGATCAAAAGACCACCACTACCAGCCTCCTCAGAATCGATGATCTGTACATGATACAGCCTGTGCGACTCAAGGCTGAGATCCTCCTCCGCGAGGTCCAGCCAGGTTTGCGCATCGCCAGAGATACTGCCAGGACTGGCTTTCTTGTGAGTGATCCGACCAGAGTTGCCGCTTAATCTCTGCCAGGCGTCTGAGGTCAAAACTACTTGGAGGAACGGGGAAAGGCCATCGTCGCAGGAGAGCAGTGCCGTCCGATAGATGGCTTGTCTCGACATCGTCGTCTCAATGGCGTCCCTGAGAGCAATCGCGGACACATCTGGCTTGAGTCTCAGTGTGGTATGGCTGATGTAGTTGCGCTTGTCCATGGCAAAGCTCACTGCTAATTGGCTCTGGGTGCTAGTTGCTGGTAGAACAATCTCAATGTCGTGCTTGTTGAGGTTGAGTTTGTTCAGGACCTCCAATGTATGCTTCGTGGAGAACGACTCAAGTTGAGCATTTGTTCTCGCTTGTCTATCAACTTTGGTGGCTGATGCATCGGTCCCTTGACTGCTAGGGAAGAATACAGAACGGATGGTCGCGCTGTTGTCGAGGAGAAGTGCCAGTGACGGCTCAAGCTGAGGGTCCCGGGATCCTGGCCAACGCTTCCTGATGTCTCGCAAGATCCTCATTGCACGAAGACTGTCAATACCCGCTTCGGCAAGGACTGTCTTTGCAGTGATTGATGGACCTGAAGTAGGCGAGTCATTGAGGACATTACTCACGATTAAGATGAGATCCTGCTCAAGCTCTTCCTCCTGAGGGTTTGACAAAGCCTCAATGCTCTCAACCATCCCGCGGTTAGAAGGCTCTTGATCGACAAGCTCGGTCTTTAACGTCTTGTTGACAAGTGCCAAAGCCGCTTTGCGATCTGCCTTTCCAGAAGCAGATCTCGGAAGCCCAACGACTTGCAAGATCTTGAATGGTCTCATGTAGTCGGGAAGATGGTGCTGAGACGCATCTAAACATAGGCGGTGTACAGCCTCAAAGTTCTCACTTGAATCAACGACAATCAGACTCACGACCTTCTCTGAACCTGCGTCTGCACCATACTTCCAGACACAGGATAGAGTCTCTTTGATACTAGGCACCTTGCTGGCAAGAACACTCTCAATCTCACCCAGCTCAACACGCCGGCCACTGAGCTTGACTTGATCATCAGAGAGTCTGCCTAGGAATTCGACCATGGGAGAGCCGCTCTTGTCCCAGACGATTCTGGCCCTGTCACCAGTCTTATAGACACGGCCCCATCTAGGGTCATCTCGGAATGACGCAGCTGTTTCGTCTGGCCGGTTCAGGTAGCCCACCTTGCTCACTTGAGGTCCAGTGATGACAAGTTCGCCCACTGCACCCATAGGCAGAGGCTTGAAGTCCCTCCCAGATTGAGAAATTGACTGGTCATGGACAATAAGAACACCACAGGTTGCCAACGGTGTTCCGATGACGGATCCGCGTTGGCCTTCAGGAACATGAGCTTGCGCAATACAGTAGATAGCCGTCTCAGTAGGCCCGTATCCGTTGTAAATGCCTCTCGGTACTTGGCCAGGTTCCTCCTTCGCGGTCGGATTGTAGGGAGCAAAGTTCTGGAGAAGTCGAGCATTCAAGGTCTCACCACCAACCATTAGTCCACTGATTGAAGAGGGTTCCAACAAGCTAGCGAAGCTAGGCGTGATGTTGGTGATGTCAGCCTTCAAGGTAGTAACAACCTTGTCAATATTTTGCAGAGTGAGTTCTCGAGGCGCGCAGCAAAGCGTTGATCCAGTGCTCAGAGTCCAAAATATCTCAAATAGTGAAATGTCAAAGGTAGGTGCAGCACCTTGGAACCACCGGACAGGCTTTGATGTAGAAGTTGGTCGGGGAAAGCCATAGTGGGCACTCAAAGCAGAGATGGTACATGAGGCCGAGAGATGGCTGACAGCCACTCCTTTGGGCAGTCCAGTGGTTCCTGAAGTGTACAGAATGTAGGCCAAGTCGTCCGTGCTCATTGATGCTGATTTCGGCTGTTGCTCTGGTTCAGTATCGCAAGCCTGCAGGAAAGGGGTGACGTTGACAATCTCTGGTGAGGAATCGACGAAAGAGGACAGCTCTGATTCTAGTAAGGACGTTGTTGTAAGCAATGCAGATGGCTTCAAGTCTGCCATCAAAGCCTGCTGTCTCTCTGCGGGTGCGTCCACGGCGATAGGGCAGAAGGCTACCCCCGTCTTCAGAGCTGCCAGGTATGAGATGTAGAGTTCTGGGCATGGGCCGATGAGGACTGCGACTGTCTTGAGAGACTGCGTCGATCCCTCGCAGGCCTTCGCGATCTTACCCGCCAGTGCCGTTGCTGCGTTTGCAATCTGACGATATGTAAAGGTCATACGGTGTCCATTTTCGAGGTCCGTCAGGTAGTCGATAGCGACCCTCTCAGGACTCTCAGCCGCGCACCTCTCGAACTGATGATGGAGAAGTGAAATCTTCGCAACATCATCGGTCAAAGTCTCGTCATCATGAGTGAGGGGGAGAGGCTCAGGTCGTGGGGGAAAGTTAAGGACAGACGGCTGAGTCCATTCAGGTCTTGCGTTATGCCCTTGCTGCACCCCAATGATGATGTCGTCTAACATGCAGCCCAGAGATCCCAGAGCAGCAGTGGGGATGATACTGGCATCCGCCTTGAGATGGACTTGGTGTTCTTCAAAGTGAAGTTGAAGGATCTAACCAGAACATCAGTATACAGATGAACCCCTGACTTGATGGACCAGCCTATAACTCACCTTGCCTTCACCAATAGAGAAATCAGTTGGGATTGATTGATGATTCTCAAGTTTAACGAAACGGAAGCTATCAAGCTCATATCTCTCGGAACTCGAATACTGAGCCAAGATGAAACCACCTCTCTTAGTATCTTGAATACAAAAGTTCTCATCTTCGTCAAGAACGACAAGATGAGACACAAGCTTCACAAATACCTTGATTGTGGTTTCTTCATCAGGTCTTGGCTGGACAGAGCTGGTCCAGCTTATTCGCTGAGATGTCTCCGTCGATTGCTGGTCAGTATGCAGTGGCCGAAGCTGCGTAACAGGAGGCCGTGTCATAGACATTGCGTTATCCATGGTGTTGATAGTATCCTTGTCTTACACCGTGTAACAGCTGTACGATAGTCCGTGATACTCTACCGTGTTGTTTACCAGATCATCAACAAACATAGAGTCTCTGTCGCAAACCACCAAATTACGTCGGCCGTTATCGCTCGGCAATGTCAGCACGGCAGTCAACCACTGATGACGATGTCCACCTCAATGAAGCTAGAAACTTTGCTCCAGCACAGTGTGTCATGGCGTATGGATCCAAGAATGGTAGGTAGTTGCAGTGTCCATATTCGGTGAAACGTCCGATCCCTGCCGACACCCATAATTCATCTCGGTCAGCGTAGCGTAGTGGGGGGCTGATGATCTGATAAGATTACGGTTACCTACAGTGCAAACAAAATAAGCTCGGTTAGCCCCAGTGACTCAATGCAGCCACACCAACTCTAACAAGTTTTACGTTATGTCTCCGAAGATCTTGGCCACAAGCGCAATAGCTGCATCAGATAATTCTTGCTCATCACGGCCTATACGAAGTTACGTCATGGAAATTACAATTTGCAAAAAACAATGTCTCAATTTTTCAGGGTCCGGTCTGTCGATCTACTATGCTAACGGGCCTAGAGTACGCCCCCATTTTAGACAAAATGCGCCTCCTGGAAAAATCGCTCACGCTGCAGGGCGAATAGCATGGCCGTCTTGTGCGGCAGGTGGAAGCGCTTCTTCCTCTCCTGCGGCAAAAACCTGTCCTGGATCTGAACGTGGTTAAGATCGTACTCAGGCTCGGCTATCACCTGCTTGGTGCGTGGATCGCGCAGGAAGCAGCAGTGCTTGATCGACGTGGCGACAGCCTGATACCGTTTGCCGCCGCGGAAACGCTCTTCTCCCACTATGATGTGTGAGTTCTGATCGTGCTCGCCCACTGTGATGTTACAGTTGGACCCAAAGAAGCACGCTGCGTTGTCCTCCATGACCCATCCAATTTCGGTGTAGCCTGCGAGTTCTCCGTCCCACTCAAACACACATGACATGGTATGGGGGTCATCCAGTTGCTTGGCAAGGTATGCTCGATGATGCTCGTCTGGCCCACGCTCTTTCCATGCCTTGTTGACTCGGTCGGAGTTTTGCCATCGCTTGTATGTCTCGAAGTGATCGGGATTGGACGCGTCGATGTGTCGGATTTGCAATTGCTGACCAAGCTCGACGATGAAGCGGGAGTAGATGACAGTGCCAGGCTTGGGCTTGGGGGGCCGAACGGGATGAACGGTGCAGACGTTGCCCTTGCGCGTGAAGCCTAATTGATTTGCGAAAACACCCATTGTGCCATTGAAGCCTGGGAATGATGTCACTTCAGGTCGTGATTGAAGCCAGTGCTGTGAGTCTGGTGCTCCAGCGCCTTGCCAGAATGCATCGTGAGAGAGCCAGTAGATAGTCTCGCGGGGAGTTGTAGTAGGTGAAAATGGTGATAGCACACCCAAGCCAGTGCACTTGATGTATTCGCCAATTCTTTGACTGTCGACAGAGATGGCTATCAAATCATCATCTCTGTGATCCGGGTGCAGCCACAGAGCGTAGATAGACGCCCAGGTCAACGCGAGGTCTTGCTGTCTACCGTGAGATGCGAAAGGAGAACGAGGATCAGCAACGTCGGAGTTCAATATCTCTAGTTCAAAGACAGGAGCGAATTGAGCTCTGTTGTCATTGACCATTGCTGGCGATATTCTGGCTTCTCGACCATCCGTTGACCATCGCGCCAATGTCGTATCGCCAGATCCAACGAGGTAGTCGTTCCCATCGCCATGGCCGGTATTGGCAATCCAGATATTGGTTTCGCCATCGGGGAGTCTGAATGAGGTCTCTTTAGAAGTGTCCCAAGCTTCTTTTGGTGGCGTCGGGTTACGTGGGGGAGCAACGGAAGTGATGCGGTCAGTAGTCATGATGGGCGGCAACGTCTATAAGTGTTTGTTAGTAGGAAGCCAAGACGAGGACAAGGTAACCAAGTGGACTCACAAAGATAACGATAATGATTGATGAAGAGTGATTGATGGATTTACGAATGCCTAGAGGTCTTATCGCAAGAGAAATGGAAGCAGACAAGGACTTTTAATACTGATTACCTTGACTCTGTTTGGTCAGCTTGATACGATGATCATGCTCAAAAGAGTTACTAGTCTGCCTTCTACGTTTCATTCACAATCTCATTCAGCGGCGGCCGATGAGGCAGTTCATTGTGACACGACATGTGTGCCCCAGATGATTTAATCCAGGGTAGCTCAGCCAAGCTTCAATGTCTCACATGCATCATTACACACATTCTGACATGGCCTCGGAGGATTCCTACCCTGTGCACTTTCACGTAATCTTATTCCAGTATTCACATTGATTTTACCAGAGATGATCATGAGAATCACTGGTGTACGGAAAACCTAACGGAGGTCCTCGGTAAAGAAACCGTCCTAAACGAGAACGAAAAACCCACCAACGTCATATGCCACCAAAACTTTTATGCTTGTTTCACCGCACCGAGCCGTCTTTCACATGCCGTCTCTGATAGGTCAATTCTTGACAAATGGCGCAGAAGTGCCCTCCGAACTGTGTGGAGATCGGCATTTCTTTTCCCCTTTCCAAGTGGGATGAAATGCCGGGGTTAAACTCGAATGAGGAAGCCGACCGTAAGCTTATTTAATTTCCTTGCTCTGTATCCACCGCGGCACGTTATGTAATCGGAAAGCGGTTAAGAATTTCACTGTGAGAAAGGACAGACTAAACAGGTTCCCAAACTGGAAGAGGCAGCCACCTAGATCAACGGCTTGAGGAAGGTGATGGAAGCAAAGACACCTACGGCGCATCCACCTAGACTCCCCATCGCGTATAACCTGCGATGTAACCCTGAATGGAATTATTGCTGATCGGCACACCCTACTGAATGGGCCCACACAGTTCTTGCATCCTGCTTTGGGAGATCACTCCGAATGCGGACCTACAAGCATGAAGCGTACGCTGTGCTTTAGCCGACCTGAACCTTGGTGACAGAGCCATCGACATGCCATCTGCCGAGTGAGACTAATTCGAGAAGCAAGTTCGGTCTCAACCACCATGGCGAGCAACGACGGGAAGACCTTCCCCCCAAGGAAGTGGTACAGAAGAGTGCCATTCCTATCAGCCAAGCCAATAGAGCAGAAACTCACAGCGCCAAAGGTCTCTACGCCAGGCAATGTCGAGCATCAGAATGAAGACAAGCTTCCTATGCCAGAGCTCCAGGCAAATTGGCTGTCGATTTTGACCTTCAACTGGCTGGGACGTCTTTTGCGGACGGGTTACACACGACCTCTTCAAGCAGAGGATCTGTATGACATGCCCAGCGACAGGTTGGCAGAAGATCATGCAAATCGCCTGGAAGAAGCTTGGGCTGCAAGACTTGCTGTGAATCGAGGACGAAAGCCTGTTACTTCGTCGAATCCGTTCTCATGGAGACCGTTCTGGGCGAGACATACCACTGACACAACTGTCTTGACCTTGGCTCTCAATGATGTATGCTTCAAATGGTTCTGGCTTGGCGGACTCTTCAAATTGGCTGGAGACTTGTCACAAATTTTATCGCCTCTACTCATCAGATTCCTTATCGCTACTTTATCCGACTCATCGCAACAAGGTCTTCGTTCAGGCTTTGGCTACGTCGTTGGACTTTTCCTTCTTCTTGTCTTTTCTGTCACCTCCAACGTCCATGGCTTCTATCGCTCTTACACCACCGGTGTCTTGCTCCGTGGTGCATTGATGCACGTCATCTATCGCAGAGCAACCACGCAGCTCAGCGAAAAGGCCAAGCTGAAACATGGTCTCGGTACTGGAAAACTCATGAGTCTCATCAGCGCTGATGTGACGCGAGTTGACTTCTGCTGTGGCTACTTCCATGTCGCATGGACAAGTATCTTCCAGATGCTGCTCTGCTTCGCCTTGACCGTCTGGACCATGGGATACAGTGCTCTGCCGGGATTCGGCCTGCTTGCATTCCTATACCCTCTCCAGTCTTTCATGATGGGCCGTCTACTTCGACTGCGACGGGGCAGCATGCCGTTCACAGACGCGCGAGTCAAGGCTGTCGTTGAAGCAGTTTCTGCTATTCGCCTTGTCAAAACAAACGCTTACGAGGAGAGTTTGCTCTCCAAGATCGGAAAGCTGAGGTCTGACGAGGTAGTGTATATCCGCAAGAGGATGCTTCTCAGAGCCTTCAACACTGCGGTCTCCTACACGGCGCCGACTCTTGCTTCGGTCGTTAGCATTGTTTGCTATGGAGCGACTAGCAAGAATGGCATGGATGCAGGCGTTGTGTTTTCTGGCCTTGCATATTTCATGCTGTTGAGAACACCTCTTCAAGCTCTTCCTACTGCTTTGTCAGCTATTGCAGATGCTCGGGCTGCACTGGAGCGACTGGCGTTGTTCATGCTTGCTTCCGATGTAGACCCTGATGCGCCTTCATCTAGCCCTCAAACTAGTTTGGGCTACTCTAACGAGGAGGAAGAAGCGTCTAATGCCGTGATAAAAGTCAAGGATGCCACTTTTGCATATCACGATGACTCGCAACTACTGGCAGCAGAAGAGGGGAAGGATGCGGCCCAGGAACCATCAGAAAGCAAAGCGCTTAGTCAGAGTCAGAGACTTATGATAGACTCGTTACTAGTGAAGCGCAATCAGCTGGTCTGCATTGTTGGAGCCGTTGCATCAGGCAAAACCTCGGTCTTGAAGGCACTTCTCGGCGACATGCGTCTCGTCCAAGCGCGTTCCTATCAGCTCAGCCTCACGACTGCTTCATCTCAGATTGCCCTAGTCCCACAAACCGCATGGCTTCTGAGCGAAACGGTGAGAGAGAACATCGTCTTTGGTAGACCTCTCGACCTCGCGTGGTATGACGAGGTTCTCACACGCTGCTGTCTCCATCAGGACATGAAGGCTTTGCCGGATGGTGACATGACAGTCGTCGGTGAGAACGGTGTTTCACTCTCTGGTGGTCAGAAGCAGCGTATCAGTCTTGCGAGAGCTATATACGGCAGAAGTCCACTCCTCTTCCTTGATGACTGTTTCTCAGCCCTGGATGCTCACGTTGGTGCCCGAGTTTTCGATATGGTCGTCAATCAAGCACGTCGCAATAACGAAGGCACGATTGTTCTGGTTACGCACTCGATTCCGTTTGCTAGACAAGCTGATCACATTGTATACATGGAAAAGGGTCGTATCGCTGAGCAGGGCTCATTTGAGCAACTGTACAGTCAGAATGGAGTCTTTTCTCAGTTCGCAGGTTCTTCATCTCTGGTCTTGGACTCGGACTCAGATTCAGAAACCGCCGGTAGTGGTGATTCCCAGAAGGCTGTGCCTGATGAATCCACCACGGCGGGGACACGGACAGATACGGCCAAGCCTGATACCAAGGACAAACAGGTAACCCAGACTCGCGGCAAAGAGGTGATGCAGACTGAAGAAAGAGTCGTCGGCTCAGTCAGCGGCCGAACCTACATCCGCTACGCACAATTCGGCAACGCCTGGCTAACAGGCCCTCTCCTCATTCTCTCTATTGCTATCTACCAAGGAACCAGCGTCGTCTCACCACTCTGGCTTAGCTGGTGGCAGAGGAACCAATACACCACCATATCTGAGGACGCATACATGGGAGGATACGCAGCTTTTGGAGCTGGCCAATCCCTTGGTCTGTTCTGCATGAGTGCGACATTTGCACTGTTCTGCTTCTGGTGCTCCAACAAGCTTCACCATGCGTCCATGTCCAAGGTCCTTCTTGCCCCTGTCGCTTTCTTCGACACTACGCCTCAAGGCCGTATTACGCATCGATTCAGTAAAGATGTTGATGCGGTGGATAACGTTGTGGGTGAGACTCTGCGTCTATTCATCTCAACCTTTGTCCAGGTTCTAGGTACAATCATCGTCGTCAGCATCATCGTACCAGCTTTCCTAGCCATAGCAGCCGCCTTGCTTCTCATCTACACTTGGACGGGCATGTACTACCGCCCATCATCACGAGAACTCCGCCGACTCAACAATCTGCTTCGAAGTCGCATCTACGAGCATTTCGGCGAGTCTCTTTCGGGTCTTCCCACTCTCAAGGCCTTTGGCGCCATCCCTCGTTTTGTTGACGATAACGCGCGCAAGATTGACACGGAGAACACTGCTTACTGGCTATCAGTCTCTTGTCAGCGCTGGCTGAACCTCCGTCTGGACCTTTGTGGCGCGACTCTTGTTTTGGCTGCAGGTTTGCTGGTTGTTGGACTTCGCGGTACCATTGATCCTTCGTCTGGCGGTGTCGTCTTGTCCTACATTGTCACGGCTCAAGCTGTTTTTGGCAACATGATTCGTCAGAGCGCAGAGATCGAGAACAACATGAACTCAGTGGAGAGAATGCTTCACTACGCCTACAATATTGAGCAGGAGCCTGCGCATCAGGTCGACGATGTTGATAAGGAGCTGAAGACCCGTCAATGGCCACATGCTGGTCATGTTCAGTTCCAATCTTTTACCCTCAGCCATCGTCCTGGACTTGAGCCTGCACTCAAGGAAGTGAACCTGGATATCAAAGCTGGTGAAAAGGTCGGCATTGTCGGCCGTACAGGTGCTGGCAAGACAACGCGTAAGTGCTAAGGGCAGTCCATTGTAGTCAAATACTAACATTCGTATAGTAATCTCTGCGTTATTGCGAATCACTGAACCTACGAGTGGTCGAATCCTCATCGATGGAGCCGATATTCACACCGTCGGCCTTCACCTCCTCCGATCAAGCCTATCCGTCATCAGCCAAGATGCCGTTCTTCTAGCCGGTACCATCCGCTATAACCTCGACCCTTTCCAACAATACGACGACGAGTGGCTACAACAATGCCTGGACCGTGTTGGGCTCGGCCAATCTGTCAAAGAACAAGATAAAGAATCAGAAGAAAATGAGAAGCATGATTCCGAGTCCAGCAGTGAGGGATCAAATCTAAACCTAGACTCAGAGGTCAAGGAGAACGGTTCCAACATCTCCCAAGGTCAAAGATCTCTCATTTCCATAGCTAGAGCGCTCGTTCGAAAGTCCAAGATTGTTATTCTGGACGAGGCAACGGCCTCTATTGATGGCAGAGCGGACGCGAAGCTTCAAGCAATGCTGAACGAGGTCGTTGGCAATGCAACCGTCCTTACCGTGGCTCATCGACTAGATACAATTATTGCTACGTGTGACAAGGTCGTCGTGATGGACAGCGGTAGAGTAGTTGAGTTTGACACTATCTCGGAGCTGTATGCCAGTCCAGGCAGTGTGTTTAGATCTTTGTGCGATGCGGCAAAGATTTCCATTTAGTCATAGTCCTCACAAGTAAATATTTCAGTTCGTGCCCATAGACTTTGTACCTAAATCTACATAATTTAATGCTTCACTTGAGATTTCGGTCACGCGACTAGGACATTACAATCTTTTGGGGTTGCCACTGCGACAACGGAGAATCATAGATTGATAAGATCGCCTGATGTGATGACAAGTCCCTTACGTTCATCTGATTGATAAGTGAACGATCGGCACTCGCCAAGACGAATGGCAGTGGAAATGCTGCGTACCAATGTTACATGAACGGCGTCAAAGTTATCTTTGCAGCCCTGACTTATTACCGCAGCCAAGTCGTCGGTATTGGTCCAGGTATAGGGTCTCAGTTTAGGTAAACTCAATGCATTATAGCTTCTAGGCAACGTGTCACGAGCCGAAGCATGAACGGGATGCCTTCTAATTGAGTTCAAGCCCGTCCCATCGGAAAGGAACGGATCAAGAGATCTTCATGATGGGCAAGCAATTGGCCACGCTGCTAACACTCTGAGGACCTTTGCTTGTGATTGACAGGACCCCTGATTTGTCAAGAAAACTTTGCCTCTCCCGTGAACCAACCAAGACATGTGATGCATCGGCGCGTTCCCTCTTCTTGGAGTCTTGATGCATGATCACAGCTGCATCAGAGACATGCTAGGGGCCAGGGATATTCTACTGTTTGTATAAGTGTGTGACACACTGTACTCTTAGCTCGACAGGGCAGAGATCTACAGCCCGTCCCACACAACGGCCGATCCCTACTGCACGCGACCATCTGATTAGATGGGCGGCCTGTTGATAATCTTGGCTACCAACCAACGCAAGTGGATATGAACAAGATCTGATAATTTTTCTTCGACTCGCCGGACAAACAAAAAAAGGCTCACCTGTTTCTGGTCCTCCCACGCCTTGGCTAAACCCCACTCACGCCCGAGTATCAGCACTACTGTCATCTGTTGTAGGCGAGCCGACGACCGGCGAACGAGGGGTCCTGTAATTTGTCTGTACCTTGCACACTGTCTGTTGGTTCTGTCTTTTTCCTCGAAATGGGGGCGACCAAACAGCGTTTGGAAGCTGTTGTAAAAAAAGTCAGACCAGGCGACACTACCGCTGCAGATTGAAGACTTTTCCCTTTCTTCTTCCTCCTCCCATTTTATTCGCTTCCCTTTTTCCCTTCTTTTAATGCTATGTTGACCTGGTCCTCTTAGAGCGATCTACAGCTCATTTTCATCCCCTCCCTCCAAAATGTCAGCGCCTAAGCACCCCGAGGGCAGCACTAAACAGTCCCCCGCCGCCCAAAACACGTCGCAAATGTTCGAGCTCAACGAGAAAAAAGACTACGACGCGTCCAACTCGCCCGTCTCCGACGATGATACCCATAAGGAAATCGGCGTAGGAAGGGTCGAGGCCTTCAACAAAGTGCTCTACCAGTCTGGCAAGAAGGGCAAGATCCTTCTCTGGCTTCTTGGTATCTCCATTGGTCTCACCATGTTCGCCTACGCTCTTGACATGGGTATCACGACTACAATCTTCGGAACGCTTGCGGCTTCGACTTTTGGTGTTCACAGCCAGCTCGGTACTGTCAATACAGCTGGTCAGATCATTCGTGCTATTAGCAAGCCCTTCATTGGAAAGCTTGCTGATATTACTTCTCGACCTACCACTTACGTCGTGGTGCTTGCTTTCTATGCTGTCGGCTTTGCTGTCGCTGCTAGCGCCTCGGGCTTCACTGCCTACACTGTTGGCATCTGCTTCACCTCAGTGGGCAAGTCTGGTCTTGATCTTCTCAGCGACATCATCGTCGCTGATTTGACTCCTCTCGAATGGCGAGGCTTCTTCAGCGCCTGTCTTTCTCTTCCCTTCATTGTCACTGTACCTGTCAACGGCTTCATTGCTGATGGCTTCTATGAAGATTGGCGATGGGGTCTCGGCATGTTCGCCATACTCGTTCCCGCCCTTCTCATCCCTGCCATCCTCACCCTATACACCATGCAGCGACGTGGTGAGAAGGCTGGAATGGTCACCATGGCTGATTCCAAGGACGTGCGATTGGGTCGTTCGGAGGCCACGCCCAAGAACCTGACCTATTGGGCCAAGCTCGCGTACCGAGGTCTAATTGACATCGACATTGTTGGTCTCATTTTGCTCGGCTTCGCTTTCTCTCTGATCCTTCTGCCCATCACCCTGGCTAAGAGCGCAAAGGGCGGATGGAACAACCCAAGCATGATCGCCATGATCGTCGTTGGCTTTGTTGTTCTGATCTTGTTTGGTCTGTACGAGATGTATCTCGCTCCCAAGCCAATGATGACCAAGCGCATTGTCAAGAACCGTGCTTTTGTCGCTGGTGTCATCATCCACATCTTTAATCAGATGGCCTCTTCTGTTCGCAATACCTATTTCTCATCCTACATCCTCATCATCAAGGAGTGGACTACATACCAATGGACCATCTTCCTTGGTATCACTACCATGGGTCTCTGCTTGGTCGGCCCTGTCGTTGGACTGATCCATCGCGTCTCCCATCGCTACAAGGGCCTCATGATCTTTGGTGCCGCTGCTAGGATTCTCGGTTATGGTCTTCTCATCAGCCCCAACGGAATGATGACCCAAGACACTGCTCGTCTTGTCGCTGCTCAGCTCATCTTCTGTCTTTCTTCTCTCAACGTCGTTGGTGCCCGAGTTGGTGTCCAGGCCTCTGTTCCCCACGATGATGTTGCTTCTCTCATCTCCATCATCACTCTGTGGTCTACTCTCGGATCCAGTATCGGTAGTGCTGTTGCGACAAGCATCTGGACTGAAGAAATGGTTGCTCAAATGCACGTCGAGATGCCCAATGTTGACGATACTACCATCGCCACCATTTACGGCAACATCAAGACTCTCAAGAAGTATGACTTCTTCGATCCCATCCGCCAAGGTTCTATTCGCGCCTACGCCATCGTCAACGGTCATATCACCATCGCTTCAATCTGCCTGTCCTGCATTCCCCTCATTGCCTCTCTTTTCATGCCCAACTTCTACCTTGGCAAGCAACAGAACGCTGTCAACAATAAGGGTCTTGATGGTGAGATTGTCGATGTCCCGGACCAGCATGGAACAAAAGACGCAAATGCGACTCAACAGGAGTCTGCAACGTTCATGCAAAAGCTAGCTGCTCTGTACCGAAAGTAGATAATGTCAACTTGTGAATGTCAGACCGAGGTAATAGTTCAGTCAGAAACTCTCCGGCTTCTGAATGATACTGCCATTCGGACATTATTGCTCGCTAGTCTCCGACAAGCACCTACTATCATATTATACCCTGAACAATAGCTACATCTGCCTTAATACAATGACGAAAGCTCACCTCACACTACGTGAGTTTGGAGTCAAGTTCGACCATTTGCATGCGTCCCCAATGCCGACTCACTCTCATGTGACTTGATTTCCCGAACGTTGTGATGTATGGATGCGATAGTTGTATTCAATAGCCTCCAAAAGTCAGCTAACCACAGTCTTTCATCCGATGCCAAGCGTTGATCAGCTATTTTTAGCGCGTGTGGCCCAAGACCATCGGAATAACTGATACACCCGTGATGCAGACCCACTGAGCTGATTATCTGATCATCTGATAACGATTCGGCCCATGCGACTATCATGATCTTTAAAACCTTCAAACATTCCATCAAAGCCCAAGATGCGATACTGGGGACGCAACCTATTATGCCTCCTCACAGTCGGCATCCTCTGTCTTACTGAGGCTTCAACTGCCTCAGATCATTGCGGAAAAGCTTGCCGACAAACATTTCGAACTCTCCGATTTGCCGACGCACCTCCGGGCGTTTTCTTCACGGTACAGGAATGCACCAGCCTTATTTACCAGACTTCGCTTCACCTTTGTTGGGAAGAACACTGCGCTGAGGATATATGGCGGACCGAATCAGCCTCAATGAACCTGACATGTCACGATATCAGCGGTTCTTATCTTCCGCCGCACAATATCATCAATAACCTGACAGATCACGACATTAAAGCTATCCCAAGATTTAATGCCACAAGCCCCGATCGATCCCACGTGTCTGGGGCATTGATGCTTCCATCAAAGTCATACTATGCTCTTTGGGTCAGAACGCTGGTCAGTAATACCAACCCAAGCCGCACGTTGTACTTTGTTAAACGGGTTCCAACAGGAGGCGCACGATTACATATGGGACTACCACAACTACTACGGCTGGGCCATGGGGATATTCTGGGCTTTGGCCGTCGGAGTAGGCATCGGTAATCGGGCTCTGGGTCAATCCTTCTCCAGTCAAGGTCGAAAGACGGCGTGGATAAGGCGTAATATTCTTCTACCTGCAACTCTCGGCAGATGCTGTGTACAAGACTATGGGGGCTGGGGTACCTTGCCTCCGAGGATACAGACATTGACTCTCATTCTTTTCGTGATCCTTAACATTGCATGTACGATACACGGATACGAGATATTTGAAGGTTATGGCTAGTGAGTGTCCTAAGTGCTCGAGTTCGAAAGCCATGCTGACATGTTAATGCTCAGCTATCCCTCTGTATGGACGCAAGTGCTGCGACACGTATCCGATCGAACTGGGATACTCTCCTTTGCCAACTTTCCCTTGATATGGCTGTTCGGAATGAGAAATAACACCGCTCTCTGGTTAACAGGCTGGGACTTCAAGACTTACAACAACTTCCACCGATGGGTTGGCCGGATCACCACTTTACAAGCCGTGATACATTCAATCGGATATACGATCATAATTCTGCAACGTAGGGTAACAGTCCGACTTCTTAGACATGTTCACTGACTTTTACAGGCGGTGGGTGGAGATACTTCTGTCAAATATGGACATTTACCTTTTGGTGGACTGGGGAGCTTGTGAGTAGTCAAAGCCCACGAAGCTGCCATTGACTAACTCTGAAGGCAACAATATTCATCTGTCTCCTGATAGGACTTTCGGTGTTTTGGGTGCGACGCCAAAATTACGAATTCTTTCTCATCACACACATTGTCTTATCTTTTTGGATCCTCGTAACTATGCTCGGGTAAGCTCAACAATGGCAACTCGGGTTACACCGTACACTAACAGAACAACAGGCATGTGTCGATATTTAGTGGTGCATATGATCCTCTTGTGTGGGTTCCAGCACTAGTCTGGCTTCTTGACCGGATCATTCGTGGATTGCGCATCATGGCCTTCAACCCGAAATTTTGGGACACCAAGGCTCTCATCACTTACAACGAAGATGCACACATGATCCGCGTGACAGTCTCAACTTCTTCAAGTATCTACAGCATTGAGCCAGGTACATTCTACTATATCATGGTGCTCAATCAACGGAACTTTTGGGAAAGCCATCCTTTCACCGTAGCGACAATATCGGAATCCGGTCATTACGACACAGATACTTTGGAAGAAGACTCACCCTTACTGAACTATGGATCCTCTGGTGAACTGAGACATGCATCCGAAAAGTCCCATCAAGAAATGACCTTCTTGATTCGGCCGTATGATAGCTTTACTTCGAGGCTAAGGGAGTATGCCGAAGAGGAACGACCAAAGCCGGCTACAGTACGTGTGGCTATTGACGGCCCATATGGAAAGACCTTGCCTCTTGAGCGGTTCTCAAAAGTTCTTTTCATCGTTGGTGGGAGCGGAATCGCGGTCCCGTTGTCGTATCTTCCGAGGCTTACGGCATCATCAAACAAGACGCCAAGGATTGAAGTCCACTGGGCTGTGCGACAGTCAACTTTCGCCGTTTATGTTTTGAGCCATGAACTGGGTGATATGCTCGGGAACGATCGAGTAGTAGAGATTAACATCTACCTGACTGGCAGCGATGTTGACAGCAGAAGAACATGTGATGAGACTACCTACAGGCTCGTGAAGTGGAGGTCTCAACGATTAAATGTCGAACAAATTATTGACGGGGCGTTAGAGGATGGAGACAAAGAGAGTATCGCAGTGGTTACAAGTGGTCCCGCCGCAATGGCTGATGAGAGCAGACGCGTGGTTACGGCAAGGACAGTGTCGTCTTTACCGCATATTGAGTATTTTGAGGAAAGCTTCCAGTGGTGATAATTGGAGTATTTCAAAGCTCTAGGGTAATATGACTTGTCAAACTGAACAATCACGCGAGTATGACTAAGTGCATCAACAAACCAGTGACCTTGTCGCGCCGCTACGTAACGTCATTACAACGGCTCAGATGAGATAATAGAACAAAAGTTTCTGCATTCCAACACCACAAGTGACCGTAACTCACTCTTAGCAGACCGCCGAGAGCCGTGTTGACTGTTACTGACCAGGCTCAAAGCATTAGGACTTAGATGCCGAACTCGCAGCTTCAAATTGATCAACCCCAGTACGTCGGGACACTTAAGGATTCACTCGCTATGAGCCTCAGTGACACTCTCTGACGCTATCATACAATCTACAGGCAGCGATAATGGGTGTTATTCGAGGATGGAAAACATCACTAACTCTAAAAGCGCTTCTATGCACTTCTCGTCGTTTCAGCAGTTATAGGATCAAGGGAGTGGTATATCAATCTCGAATCATCACATATCATGTGACAGTCGGCGACGCATCAAGCGTCATGATATAGGTAGAGGGCCGCACATATTAGCAGATAAATGGGTTATCCACAAGCCAGTCAGTGAGCCAAATGTGGATCAAACTCTGGAAGCAACTTATGCGGTAAACGATGATGTAAATTGCTTTCCTCTATTCTATTTACGTTCGAGAATGTAGACCGTTTACAAACTTCAGAGTTTATCGCTCATCGCCGACTTACTTACAACCTCTCATTAAAGTCAGTGAGAACCTGATGGGCTGAGTAAAAAGCACTCTTGGGGTAATAGGTCTCGTTGAACATCAACGACTTGGCTCCCGGGAACCAAGTGTACAAGTGCTTATCCGTAAAGCCCCAGAAACTTATATCAATGATTCCTGCGTTTAGAGCTTCCTTGATGGTATCGCCATATATCTCGGCTTGTTGGGTTGCGTTATACGTATGAACATCCATTTCAGCAATGGTGACCTGGAGGCCAAGGGCTCTGTAAGATTCAACCATTTCTCGAATGACACCAGGAACCAAGGGCTCGAGGGTGATATGCATCTGTAGAGCGATCCCATCGATAGGGACGCCTTTATGCACGAGTTTACAAACCATATCGTAAAGTTCTTGACGCTTCTTTGGCTGCACTTCGACGAGATTCTCATTGAGAAATAGCGTTGCGTCTGGGTCTGCTGCTCGGGCTATGCGAAAGGCGTCCTCAACCCAACTGGGACCCAGGGTGTCGTAAATGTGGTTCGGTGCCAAACCGCTGCCGTTGGTCTTGAGGGCCTCGGAGACAACGTCCCATCGATCCATCTTTCCGTGGAACCGATGCATAATGGCCTCGAAGTGATTGGTCATTTCAGCACGGAGGGCTGCAGGAGAAGTTATGTTGAGGAGATGATCTGGGTTACAACATGGCGAAAGAAGACCATGACCCTTGACTTTCATAATATTGGCATCGGCGAATTTGACAAGACGGTCGAGCTTATGCCAATCATATTCGAAGTTGGCAGGATGGACAAAGGTCCACTTCAGTTGATTCTCATGAGAGAGACTGTTGAACTGCTTGGAAAGCACGGCACGAAACTGAGAGTCGTCGAGATAGGATGGATTGATAGCCCAAGACCCCAAAAGCAGGTTGTTCTTTGTGGCCTCTTCTCTCAGCGGGGTAGTGCCGGTGCTAGGAATGTTGATTGCTCCAGCAAAGGCGACGGAGGTTGCGATGATTGTCGTGAGTCTCATGTTTCCCCTGAGTAAGTGAAGATGCTCTGATTATGCATGCTGTTATGGGGCTTCAACTCTGACATGGCCGTACATACTTAGCTATTTATAAGTTAGTAGTAGTCGTGTTTATGTCTTGGAGATGACGCGTCAACTTTGGGGAACGAGACTGTCTACAAGACGAGAGTTGAAGAACGAGGTCGAAATTGGTCATTTTGGCAAGCATAGCGTCGGCGGAAAGACAACTCTCAATGAACCGTAATCCGTAGGTGGAGAAATAAGTAGATAGCATGTACGCGGCAGAATTGCCTGATGTCGGGCACACGTCAGTCAGTATCTTCATGCAAGCATGCGATTGTGCTAGATCCGGCCGTGATACGCCAGGTTCATTCACTGGTACAGACCGCTAGATTCCGTTAGTGGACTGTAGCTAAGTAGGTCGGTCCAGTATGAGACGGGAAAGGGGCGGTTCGAGGAACAAGGGAGAAGCAGAACGAGGAACGAAATTGAATAAGGTTATACGAAACCTAAATGGTAAATACGAACCAATCATATTGATTATAAAAGTATTAGCTTCACTACCGATAGTATCTGTGGCACCAAGTCATCAAATTCGTCATACATTGCAATTTGCATCCAATAAACCCCCTTATAACTTAGTGGCTGAGACGATATTTAATTATGGCTTGAGTCATAAGTGAGTGGCTATGCGGTTCTCAAGCAACACAGAACGCGTCTTGACCACGCACTACGGGCGGCTTCCCAATTAAAAAAAAAAAAAAAAGAACACAGACAGAATTGGTTTATATAATCTTCTTGGCATCTCTCCGTCTATGGTAAGCTTTCTGTTATTCTTTCTACTATCATATTGACTACCTGTTCCGTGCCTTTTGAGCAAGATACTGCACATCGACTACAATGGCCGACAATAAACGGGAAACCATTCGCTATGAGCTCGCTGGGGATGACTCTCCATCACTCAGTCCAGCCACTTCAACGCCAGCTACTCAGAGGTTGAGAAATACAAGGAGTACTGGGGATCTGTCACACGCTCCAGAACTGCCCGGAGATTTCTCGTTAGAAAGCTCATCAGCATATAAATTCGCCAACTTTCTCGAGAATGATGTCAAAATTCAAGGTAATATTTTCCTATAATATGCCAATTAACTTGCTAATATCGATTGTAGATGACGCTCGTGTTGAGATTGATTGTAATTACAAGTTGGTCCGCACCCTAAGCCGTCTCTATCAAACATCACCCGACAAGTACACGCAACCCGACACTCCGACTCCAGAATATACAGAATTCGAATCCAAAAGAAAGACATGGGCCACAAAGCTGAATATTGTTATTTAAGTCGTGGGTAGTCGAGGTGACGTACAGCCGTTCATCGCGCTGGGAAACGAGCTTTACCGATATGGGCACTGTGTTCGTTTGGCAATATATAATACCTTGAACGCTTTGTTCGAGAATCAGGACTAGAGTTCTATCCTGTTGGGGGCGACCTAGCTGAGCTGATGCCTTATATGGTGAAGAACCTAGGTCTGATATCTAGTATGAAGAGCTTGGTGGCTGGGGAGATTTAGAAAAAGCGTGATATGGTGTAATGGATGCTTGAGAAGTTCTGGCACTCATGTTTGCAGCCAGACCCGTTAATTGGCCTGCCGTTTATGGCCGATGCTATAATTGCTAATCCTCCTAGCTTTGTGCATATTTACTGAGCCTAGGCACTAGGTATTCTGGTGTATCTTATGTTCACTATGCTATGGAGGAATACGAGAGCTTTCCCTTACCTGCTTGCTAATTTGAAAAATGTCGGAAGCGATCCTTAACTTGGGAATTATATGTCTTACATCGTGATGGAGTGGATGATGTGGCAAGGGTAAGCTTCTCGGTCGCCTAGAATACCATTCTGCTGACGAAGATCATGGTCAGGCTAGGTCACATTATCAACAGGTGGAGAAAGTCGATAGACCTAGAGGAGGTGGCTATGTTTAATGCTCCTTTGCTAAAAAAAAACGTTGAAATTCCCCTTCACATACTGCTGGTCACCAGCCTTGGTCCCAAAACCTTTAGACTGGGAGCCGTATATAGGTGGGTTTGAGATGCAGGATATGCCTCGATACCGATAATTAACATTCTTACAGATGTCTGCGGCTTCTTCTTTCGCGATCCTCCTCAGTACCACCCACCAACAGACCTTGTCCAATTCCTCCAAAATGGCCCGCCTCCGGTATGCATCGGATTCGGCAGTATTGTCCTAGATAATCCTGAGAAGGTAATCGGTGTTATACTGGATCCGATCGAGGCCACTGGCGCTCGTGCTATTATCTCTAAAGGCTGGTCATCTCTAGTTGGCTCTGAACAAGAAAACGTATACTGGATCGGGGACTGTCCCCACGAATGGCTCTTTCGGCACGTCGCAGCGGTCATTCATCACGGGGGTGCCGGAACAACAGCTTGTGAACTGAGAAATGGAAAGCCAACAACTATAGTTTTTTTTTTTTAACCCTAACCCTAATTTTCCAATTTATAGCCAGCTTTTCTGGGGACAGATGGTGGCCAACGCTGGCGCAGGACCCGCTCCGATCCCTCATACAGAACTCACGGTCGACAAACTCGCTGTAGCCATTCGTTACTGTCTATCTCCACAGGCAGCAACCGCAGCGGCCACCGTAGCCGACAAGATGTCATCAGAGGTCGGGGTTCGTGCGGCTGTCCAGTCATTTCACAAATGCCTCCCTCTGGAGCGAATTCGATGCGATGTAATCCCAAGTGAGCCCGCCGCATGGTCATATTCCAAGCTGAAGAACCCAATCAAGCTATCTAAGGTGGCTGCAGAGATTTTAGTATCCACCAGTTCAATCGATAATAAACACCTGAAACTGTAAATACCTACCCTTCCTTACGTGATTGACCATTGGCATAGTCGATTACTTCCTCTTCACAGGTACCAGAGCAACCCCATCCACACCGAAACAACCAGGTGGGATTCTGTTTCAGGAGGCGTGTCTGCTGTTATGGCAACGGCAACCGGAATGGCTGGCAACATCACGGGCATCTTTACAAAGCCAGCCGAGGAATACCGAGACGACCAGAAGCGGCGCGCTGGAGAGCTAAAGTATACCCAGGGACGGGGTTCCCCCTACCTACAGGAAAGGTCTAGCGACAAGGATAACCTCAGCGTAGAGCGCCTCTCGAACGACTCCGTACGACCCAGGAGTGCGCACTCTGGACATCTCGCCGGTCGCATGGCTGGAGCTTCAGCTAAAAGCGCTGGTAAAATTGGCCAAACAGTGACGAAAGGCATGCTAGTGGATTTTCCACTTGCCATAACAGAGGGATTAAAATCGGTACCGCATCTCTATGGTGGCAACATACGCAATCATGGGCCAGTGAAAGATGCCAAGAGTGACATGGTGGTGGCGGGGAAGACATTTGCGTGGGGCTTCATCGATGGTCTCAGCGACGTTGTGGTACAACCATATAAAGGTGCGAAGAAGGAGGGGGCATTAGGTGCTGCTAAAGGGCTAGGAAAGGGGGCGATGAGTCTGGTGACAAAGAGTGGTGCTGGGATGTTTGGATTGTTTGCGTATCCCAGTCCAGGAATCAGCAAGAGTCTACGTACAGCCACCCACGGCTCGATACGCAAGAAGATTGCCGGAGAGCGGCGTGCAGAAGGTATGTGGATGGCGAAGAGTGGGACTGGAGTACAGGTGGATTGTAGTAAAGTGTTGGAGGACTTTGAGCGTTTGAAACGAGACATATAGAGTGAAATTTTGTGAATTCAAGGTCAGACTACTCGTCGACCTGCCAATTCTTAATCTTTAACAGCGCCAGTACTTTTTTTTAAAGCTATATAAAGTTATAAATAATATAAAGTAGTAAACTAAATAATTACATAAGTATAGCTAACTGTATTAATAGATAAGAGAACTCAATAAGGAAATACTTAAAGAATAGCTAGAGTAAAGACTGGTTAAAATTAGTTAAAATGAATTTAGGCCAGTTTAGGCCAGTTTAAGCCAGTTTAAACCAGTTTAGACTAGTATAAATTATACTCTCTATAACCTATTTAGTAGTTTAATAAAGTCTAATAAAACATAACTTACTTAAGTTTAAATTGCTTAATTAATTTAATTATAAGCTTACTATTAAAATAATATTTTATATAACTATATGAGCCTTAAATATATAATATTAAATATTAATTTAACTTAATACTATATCCTCTATCTATCTCAATATAACAGAAGGTTATAGTCCAAGCTATAAGCAATAGGGTCAAGACCATGCCCAAAATTCTCCAAGTTCATCAAAGTTCAGATCTCTAACTACATCGTTTCCAGGGGCTAACAGTCCCCAGCTAGCAATTGGCTCCTCTGTACTTATATCATGAGAGTCTTGTGCTTCCTCCGTTTCGATAACAGGAAGCTCACGATGTGAACTAAAAAGGTCTGGCTCATTCTGAAACGCCAAAGAGGTAGCAGACAATGTCTGATATTGAGAATCAGCCAAAATCTCGGTGCCTGGGGCTGCTCTTGCTGGGAGATCCCCGTGCTCGGTCGAGGGTAACAAGCGCGGCAAGACTTCGTCAAAGGCATTCCAGACTGCAGAAGACACCGTCTCGAACAGGGAGCGCTCAGATAAATCAGAGCTAAACTGAAACCCTGGTATATTTCGCACGTTGGCGTTTATGTCTCGGATCACACGGGCGGGAACCTCCCTTCGGAGAAAGCTGCGATATTGAGCTCGCATTTCTGCAGTCATGGGCGCCTCGAGAATTTGGAGATCACAATCTATATACACAGGTTAATGGAACGATTATAAGTAAGTATCCCAGATAGAACTTACACGGTGATGGTATATCTTCGGTTTTCGGAAATAGAACCTTGTACATATGCTTCCACTTTTCCTCTTCGGAGAAGTTCTGGATGCCCCGTCTTGATTTGAGACGCTCTTTAGTCTCGTTATCGATACCTGGCATTTCTCTAGATGGACTGACGACTTCACAAGCCGGGTCCTGGCGGAGATGGGCATCAAGTTCTTTCTCCGTCTTGACTATTCCAAAACATCTCTTACAATAAATTGGTGCTTTGTGAGATCTATAAATATGCTCCCTATTATAGTCAGCAAATCGTGTCTTAAATTCAGTAGGCAGGTTTGTGCACTTTATCCGATGGACGCTTGGCCACCCTTTTTGGCACCGAGGCCATTGCTCTCCGGGATATTCTTTAACAAATGGGCAGGCAAGATTTGGAACTGGCCCCGATGGCGGGCTTTCTGTCTTGCGACGTTTTTCATGATCGTCTCCGTTTCCTCTGCCGCCAGCATTGGTATCATCACCTTCACTCTCTCTATCGTTGATTCCCCTTTTCTTGCTATTACCGTGACCTTCAGCTGGTGACCCATTTTGACCAGTGGATTGTGTGGAGCCGGAAGTCGCTGAATTCTGATTGAGTCCTGGCGAACAAGTTGTCACCCAGTCAAGAACCCCATGGGCAACCATTGCGGTAACCGTATCTTTCAGGGCGGTGACAGAGGCTAGGAGGGCTGGGTCCAAAGATGAAGCGAGAAATGCTTCTTCGAAAGATTCATCTGTTTGCCGTGAGACATCAGACATGGACTCGTCGGTTTCGCTTGTATCAGTTTCAGTCACACATGTATCCGGAGTCAACCCATGCTCAGTACCATCCTTGCTAGAGTGAGCAGTAGAACCAGCATCCAGTGTGGTATCGGTTCTCGTTCCTGTAGATGATATCGTAATCTTGGCTGGATGACTCCTTGGGGTAGAGAGGGGTCCTCTATCGACGTGATCGTCCATACTCAGTCTACGCATCGACTCACTCGGAGGTCCTGCGTCTGAGAGTCGTTCTTCAATGGTACTCAACTCTTCATCAGCATTCTCCTGAACTTGAAGCTGTGCACCAGCAAGCGGCGACTGTACTTTTGGTGTATTGAATGGTGAAGAGAGTAGTAAGCCTTTGTTCAACCGACGCTGCTGTGCAACCCAACCAGCCAAAGCCACCTGATCAGACACAGTCAACGAGCTGTCCTTGGCTGGTTCAAGTGAAGGGATCGACTCGGCGGGCCCTGAGGCAGCGATAAGTTGTTGGTATACTGGAATATTTGCTGATGCTGAGAGTCTCTCTTTGGTTTGCGGATCGAGGTATGGGATAGGTGGCACGGGAGTCTTGTCATGATCTCGATGGTTACGAAGCGATTCTCGGTATACATTGAGAGATGAAGAAGATGAAAGTGTCTTTCTGAAAAGAGATCGTCGGCGGGAAGGCGTGGAACTGGCTCTGCCAATGGACGAGTCGTATGTGCTAGCAGCTGAAATTATAGAGGAAGGTCGGGTAAAGCTAAAGCTAAAGGTGGAGTCTCGGGCAGACGTCGAGGCTTGTAATGTGTCCTCAGAAAGCCTCCGCAAAAGGTCGAGTTCGGATGGGTTGTACGTAGCAAAAGACAAGTTTTGACCATACTCAGGGATGCCTGTATCGCGGGTTGAAGTCACTGGTTGGCTCTGAGTCAAAATGTCAGCACTTGGATCATTGTAAAGCAAGAAAAAGGCTACATACCAGGCTGCGCCGGCGTATAACATCATCCTGTTCTATACAACGATTAATTTAGCCCAGAACTACGTAGGGAGAAATTGAGAATGGACTCGCCTTTCAAACCTGTGTTGCGCGGGCCCAAGATCAATGCAGATGCTGGCCTGTTGGTAACTTCGTATTGGCTACCGACCCCCGTAAGCTCAACCGACTGTAGAGGTAGATTAGGCGCTGAGGTAACTTGTTTCCTTCTCACTCCCGAGTAACCCTTGATCCATCGGCGATGGCTCTCGGTTTTGGATGCAGCGCCCTCCCCATCCTTTGCTGAGAACGAGACTGTTTGATCTAAAGGATGTTGCTGTAACCCGGTCGGCCTCCCTTGTACTACGTTGTGTATATTCGAGTCGGGAGGGCTTTTGTCCTTTGGCGTATCCAGCTCATTGTCCGTTGTCGGCGAGGAATCTCCATCCTTCCAAAGAACCGCCATCTTCTCTTTGAGGGTATTAGACATTAACCGAGATGAAGGCCGTACTTTGGCGTAAGAGGGGAGCAAACCCGGGGCTTTGTTCAAGTAATGTTTTCCCTTGTGTTTAAGGCGCTCACGCAAGGATCGGGGCTTTGCATCTGTGGTTTGCTGGCTTTTTTCAGGCCTGGTCCTGGGTGCCACGTCGGCAGCGGGCGGTATAGGCGAGGACATGGCGGGCGGGTGTAATAGTGGGCTGTCACAGGGCCAAGGCAATGGCGTAACACCTACACGCCTTAATTACCGTTAAACAATTAAAAATGCGAGGTTCTCGCGATGAGTTGTACAAAGAGAAAGAAAAAAAAGACAGTTTCAGAGTGGCTCTATGCCTGGGTAATGCTTGTGGCTTCCCCCTGGGTCGCCTTGAGCGGCCGGCTAGGCGTTTTTTCTGAACCATGGTTCGCAAACTGTAGCTTACAAGGCGCTCGTTTAGGCGACTTGGATTTGGGGGCAGAGCCATCTATCTGTCATAGGCTAAGCAGGGGTTAGAGAAAAAATGGTGGTGGGGTTCACCTGCAGTTTTGCGCGTGCGCATAACTTGGGATCGCAGAACAACAGGCCGCAAATATTCACTTCTGCATGAAGAAAACTAAAGATAGAGCAAAAGTGTGTAGTAAATAGAAGTAGATAGGTCGCAGTATTCATTGCGCATCACGGAGAACTAAGGTAGCTGGTAAATGAGTACGCGAGGTACAATTCATTAAAATGAGGCTTCAGGCTGGCATTTAAAATCATTGGAGGTCTTCGCGTTTTGAGTCGTTCTGCAATCTGGAACAGATTAACTTGACAAAACTTTTTGCAAATATTGTTATCTGATTCATCTAATAATGCCAGCCCCATCGTCAATTGTTTCAACACCACCAAATCAGGGGTCATCCTCTTCTGTCACAAGGTTTGTCTGTCATATCCCAGTGATTATGAAACCACAACCTGTACTGAACTGTCTAGCAGTAACACCACTAACGCTTCCCCGCTTAGCGCTGGTCTCTCGCTGACTATGTCGCGCTTTCTTGGGGAACCGGTCTCTGTTAATGCATACATTGCATGCGGAGGGAGTGGCCAAACGAATTAAAAAGTATAACTACCAGTCGTTTACATAAATGCCCGGCCGTGTACTATTAGGCCCCGAAGCGTTGGGGTGCTATCCATAGTGTATTTTTATTAAGAGATAAAACTCAGTATATGATGTCAACAAGCTAGATAATAATTACTGCATAAAGACGAGTAAAAAGTACCACGATAAAACCACACTTTTAAGGTAGCTGCAGCAAATCCTCGCACATCACTGTCTTGCCAATTCTTGATCTCAAACAACGCCGTTACTTGGATCCTAGTAGGCTTCGTGGCAATTACTGCCTTCATTTCCATTCCTCTTTCCTCTCCCCAAAAGGCTCATTATATAATATTTCACGTCACAAATTAGACACCACCTACACCGCCCACAACCCGAAACTCAGAATGGCTAAAATATGTGATTGTGACTCGGGGGCACCAACTTCTTGTGTCTTGGCCTGCAGTGAACCATTGGCCCTGTCTCAATGGGGCCCCACTATGGCCATTTCTGGATTTCCGGCTCGTGTCTTTCAGCCACTTACATGGTATTGTGGACTCGTGGAGACATCGTGGGATTATTTCCTATTAATACTAGCGAGTTACATAGAGGCTTGAGAGTGATCTTGACAGCTATTGATGTTACTCAATACTGGATTCAAGCAACTTCTCGCCGATTATGTCAGGTTCTGGATGGCCGCCAGCAGTAAGTTATTTGCCAAGTTGATTCAGGATGTGATGACCTATGCATTCGCACTATGTAACCGTCACCCAATCCGTTTGACCATATTCGTCCATGTGCTATGTGACGACTGAAACCTAATCCTAGTCTTATCTGCCAATACCATATATATATTGGTTATCAGAGGCACCAAAGCGGGGTCCGACTTTTTGAGGAATTCTAAGACAAAACTATATCCTATTGCTCTTTTATATTGCTACACCCTAGTGGTGATACATTTATTAGTTGCTGCATATATATGGAGAACCCGCTTTGAGGAGCATGAGGCTGGCTGGGAAGACAGATTAAGAAGAGGCTTGCTGAAAGAGGACCAATCCAGCTCTTTGCAGTCAGCATACAAGCATACTAATGTAATCCTGTCACAGTCACTCCACACGGGCGGCCGACGGCATCGCTGATCTAAGATAACATAGCCTGGTGGCGTACGCGACCCGCCCAAGGAAAGAGACTCCCTATGCCCAATCAAGCTAGATGTGTCCAATATTCGCCCACTAATACTTTTCAGCCAGCCACAGAATCAACCATCACGATGTAAAACGTCTTAGTCAATTCCACTCCGTACATAGATCCTATCACCGCTTGAACTTGAAGACAAAGTATAAGGCTAGAGAGCAATATCTATTCTTGGCTATCTCCCATAGCATTCCAAATCGTAAGAAGACAAATCGCAATGCTTCTATCCCAGATGCAGACGAGAAGTCGTGCTCGCGAGAGGTCTACTTGATACTTGTGGCTGGCTGAAAACTGCCTGCATAATTGCAAGTGAGAATGAAACTGTTACTCTACACCGTTGGTGTGGTTTCGATGGTGTAGATTTGCCAAGTGAAGGCACTGCAGCTAGACACGCATTAATGAGACTTCGAGTATAAATACTCTACGGATCCCCATCATTCTCAACACTCATCGCAGCTCAATTCAGTTTTCACAATCTTCTTTAAATAACAATCATCCAACGCAAACACTACTACAATGGCCGCTGTAGCTCAATCCAACTCTGTGAGCTATGACACGTTCGAGAAGCTCGTAGCCTCTCAGAATGGCGGTCAACTTCCGTCAGACCTCGATAGCTTTTACAAGTATATCCTCGCTCAACCCGAAGGTCCGTCAGACCTGGCTGCGTTAGCAGCAACCACCGCAACTAAGGCAGACCCTGCCAGCAATGCTGCTGATCTCACCGCCGCTCCCGAGGTAAAGGCAGCAGGGTTCAGCAACCAGACCTCGGCGAATGGCAGTGTCATCAACCTTTGGGTTTACCAGCGTGTCTACATCAACGCCCTTGGTAAAACATGCACCATCAACATGGGCGGCATTACACCAGGCTTCCCTGGCGGAGCAACATTGTAAGCTAATGAACATCCATCCGCCGATATGAAATGACCCTTTATGCTGATTAATGTGTTTCTATAGTGGCACGTTGTACTATGATAATGCAAGCGATCTCAGTGGTGATTGTGATGTTGTTTTCACGGGATTCATAGTAAGTTCCCTGCTTGATTCATATCTGTGATGATCCCTTTTATCTGGGGTTGTACGGAATTTGAAAAAATAAAGTACTGATTCGAATCTTCACTAGACATACTTCGCCCTTTACTTCCGCAAGAACGGTAGCCTGTATGCGACTTACCAGTCAGGCAACGTCGGTGCGGCCACTGGTGTTGCGGGTGGTACAGGAAGCTGGTCTTAGTGCGATGGCTATGTCTCTAACAGTAGATGTACAAGCCTAATACATATACACGAGTCCGAGGATATTCCCAGTAGTCCATTTCGCCAAATTGTGTATCCCAGTCCCATAATCCTATTCATCTGATATCTTCTTGAAGGAGGCGCGTTTGTTGTAGAGTGTAGATATGGTAGCCTCTGCTTTGAGGATAATAATTTTACATTTTTGCAGCAGTTCTTCGAATTCAGCGCTGCCCGTGGGGTCGAGGACGGTGGGCATTTTGAGCAAGGGTGATTGAGAGATATTTGCTCAAATGTGCGTGCCAGAGTCAAGTAACTTGCAATGCGGGGAAACAAAGGTTGAAAGGGTGTGAGAGGCGGATGACCCAGTTTATATTAAGGCCCTTGAGACCACAGCAGCCGCTGACGGAAGACGACTGCTGCGCCACGAAGCACTATACAGCGACGGGTTAGCTCCTGAATTCTGTTGGAACAGCAAATAGATAGCCGAATGAGGAGAAAATATCAAGCAATAATGTAAGATATTAAACTTAAACTTCGAAAAAGATATCCTAATCTTATATTAAGTTACCTAAGTCTTTTACCACTACCACTTAGGACCGAGGTCCTGAGGTTTCTTTCCTCCGCTAGCCGGTTAGGATGCGGTTACAGCTAGCGGGGATGGTCGGCAGATAGGCCCGCCGCTTTCCACTGAACCCCGCAATCCTCTAACTTGTGGATCTGACTTCCGCATCCTCTATTGTCATTGATGGCACAGCCTATAATCTCCTTAAAAAGCCGCTCTTCATCACAAGACCATGTACAAGTCGTACCGTAGGCTCCAACCTTGAAACACCAGAACCTATATCCTCTTTTGTCTACGCCACTACAATGCCATCCTCAAAGACACCATTAGAAGTTGACGATGTCACCATCACCAGCTTCACCGTCACTGATATCAGATTCCCCACTAGTCTAGACGGGGTTGGCTCGGACGCTATGCATGTTGGCACAAATGGATCGCATCCCTACATTCAACTTCATACTAATCAGGGTGACTTGATCGGTGAAGGCATTGTCAGTCCGATTACGGTCCACACCTTCAGAATTGCTGCTAATAGTCAAACAGGCTTTCAGCAACGGTCGAGGAAGCGAGCTAATTTGTATGACTCTCAACATCTTCGCGAAACGCGTGGTTGGAAAGACAATGCATGAGTTGACTCGGAACATGGGCAAGACCTGGCGATATATGGTCTCCGACTCCCAATACAGATGGATCGGCCCTGAGAAGAGCGTGACGCATTTGGCAGTTGCCGGCGTACTCAATGCTGTCTGGGACCTCTGGGGCAAGATATTAGGTCTTCCAGTGTGGCAGATCGTGTGTGAAATGAGTCCTGATGAGATTGTTCGCTGTATCGATTTCAGGTATATCACAGACGTCATCACACCAGAAGAGGCCATCGGTATGCTTCAAAAGACGGCCAAAGGCAAGGAGGAGCGCTTGAAGGAGGCATTCGATAATGTTGCCGTGCCAGCCTATACAACATCCGCCGGATGGATGGCGTTCTCGGGCGATAGGATGAAGGAGGTCTTACATGAGACATTGGCGCAGGGATACAAGGTCTTCAAGTTTAAAGTCGGGACCAGCATCGAGGCCGATAGAGAGAGATTGTCTGCTGTGAGAGACGTCTTGGGTTACGACAATGACTACCAGATTATGATTGATGCTAATCAGGCACGTCGTCATTCTGCTTCATGATGACTGTTGCTAATGTCAGAATAGGTATGGAGCGTACCCGAGGCCATTGATTACATGAAGCATTTGGTGGAGTTCAAGCCTGTTTTCATCGAGGGTATGCCTCAACCTCCTTCAGCCAACTAGACATACATTCCTGATTACCTTGCAGAGCCAACAAACCCCGATGACGTGCTGGGACACGCAGCGATTCGCAAGGCGCTGAAGCCGTATGGCGTCGGCGTTGCCACAGGCGAAGCAGCACAAAACAGAGTCACTTTCAAGCAGTTACTGCAGGCTGAAGCAACTGATGTTGCACAAATCGATGCTGTTCGACTCGGTAGCGTTAATGAATGTCTTGTACGTCCTCACAGGTATAATTACTGTTGATTCACGTCCCAGGCTAACGGTTGTTGGAGGCGGTCATGCTGATGGCCCTCAAGTTCAATATCCCATGTGTTCCACATAATGGTGCAATGGGCCTGACAGAACTGACATCCCATCTCAGCACGATCGACTATGTTGCCATCAGTGGACGTAAGTCAATGCTGGAAAATGCTGACAGCCACCGCGAGAACTTACGACATCCTTCCAAGATTGTTAATACTCACTACGTCACGCCATTATCACCAGGTTACTCTACAGGCTACACCGATGAAGCGCTTGAAAAGTATACTTATCCTGATGGCAAGTTCTGGGCATCTGAAACTGGGTTGAAGATTATCGCGCAGCCCACGGGTGGCGAGCTATAAAATTTGGACAGACTCCCCTCATCGATCAATCAAGATATCCTTACACATTCATCTCTTCCATAGTATGTGAAAACAGAATCCGAATGATCAGATAACAGGCATGCAAAGATCATAGATCTTTAGACTCTTGTTCGAAGACGTGTCTTCCTCCTTATCTCCTTGAGTATTGCCAAAACGTCGGAGATACTGGAGATATTCCACTGACTCAAGTTATCAATAGCCAGAGTTTGGAGGCTCTCCACATCAGGAACAAAGTGCCGGAGCTCAGGATTGAGCCATGACAATGTCAATATGATCACCGCCCCAAGCGACCTGACTCGGTGATTTAGCATTAGACACTGCGGCCTGATGGAGGATACGTACGACAATGCAAAAGTCCATGTGTATTGACTTGGAGCGCGAAGGATCTTGGAGGTGTGATAAAGATATAAACTGCAACTTTCGATGCAAATACCTGCCTTCTCGACAATAGCACTCGAGACATGTGAGTTCGTGTGCGTTGTAACATGGAGAACAAAAGGGCGGTATATAATATGTTTCGCGGCATAGTATCGGATTCTTAACATGCATATCCTGTCATTGTCTATCTCCTCAAAATTCAGTGGTGGTCGGAACTGCTCGGGGATAGCTGCGTGCCACAAGTCAAGTTGACTGTGCAGTTCTTCACAAACAGAGGTTATCGAATTGAGCTCGTCGATGGAAAACTCTTCTGGTGTCATAAGTGAGGTTGAAGAAAGAGATTTGTTGAGAGAATTTGGTGTTCTTGGGTATAGGGAGTTGTGAATGCGATTCAGAAGTCGTCGGATAGATATCTCGGCCAAGTAGGCTGTCATGTGAAGGTCGTCCAGATTCCCACATCGCGGCAGGTTCGCATCATCTGTCAATTGCTGAAGACTGCTTCTAGGGAGCTCCAGCTCAGCGAGTCTGTCACATTCAATAATCAAGCAAGACCAAAATAGCCGCAGTATGTCGACTTCTGTATTGAGAGTCTGCTTTTGGCAATCCAGGCTAATAATCATATTAGCGATTGAATAGCTAATAGTGCGATGTACTGACCTCGATAGCTTGAGTTGTAAAAGGTTGGTAGCCAAGTATATGAGTCGCCAACTATGAAGCGGGCGGACAATATATGCAAAATAGACACTCGCCAAAACAAGTGCCTGAGCCAATGTGAGATCGAAGGAAAACAACCATAACGAGCGGAGCATGAGCGTTGGCAGAGCATATTTCATATATTCCGTACCACTGGGAGAGTTTTGTGAAGTCCATAAACCTATCGGTTGACTGGAAACAGCACCAAGGGCAAAGACTGTCATACATAAAGCTGACTCTGTGCTCGAGTCTGCTCCCTTATCTAGGAACCTTTCATAGATCTCTGTAAACTCTTCCTGGTCGAGTACTGGATGGTTGACGTGTACTGACGAGAAGAAGGTGGCAACCAGGTGGTCAAGTACCGATCGTTCTATTTGGAAAGGAGGCAGTGGATTATGCGACTGCTCTGGAGACAGCTCCGGCGGCAGAGGACTCTGGCTCTCTAGGAGGAAGAATAGATTCGTTGGATACTCGCCTACTAGCATTTTCACAGCGGGGAGGCCTAGGAGGTAACTTGAAGAGGTTTTATGTTCGGCCGGGATATTCATCGGTTCAGATGCTACGTCCAACGGCTCTCTCAAATTTGAGAAGAATTGTAGAGGCTCGTCATCGGCAGCATGCGTCTCACTCGCAGAAGCACTTATTGTTGACTCACCGTTTGTATCTAATGCGGTGCCTTGAGATAAGTGGACGTGAGATGCTGGCTGTGAATGGTTTGGGGATGATAAGGCTGTTAAGTGTTGCTGTTGCTCAGCCAGCATGTCTTTGATATCTTTCAACCGACTTATTATTTCTTTTGTGCCTCCAGAAGTATCGATTCTATTAGACAATCGTTAGTCGCTACGTGTAGGACAGGTCGTAGAATGCCTGTACCTTTGCGAGGGGCCATCATCATAGTGGCAGTCCGCTCCTGACCTGGTGCAGTTGTTGCATCTTGGCTTGGTGGCATCACATCGCCGTTTCCTACTGCAGCTCAGCAATTGGCGCGTCCGCCTTCACTATCACAGAACTTACCTGTGGCGGCAATAAGTACATGCCAGCGCTACTCGCTGCCGATTGAAGCTCATGTTCAATTCAGGAAAGCGAACATAGTTGACAAAAAGGATAATACAGCAAATGATATGTCTACAATACCTGCACCCCGCACTCAACGGAACGGATTTACATTGCACCGTCGTGTGTGTATTGGCTGTATTTACAGTTGTAAATTCTCTTTTTTTGTTTTTATAAGGAATTCACTTTAAGAATAAGAATAGCAGACTAGCAGGACTATATTCTTAGATATAAAGGAATAAGAAAATCTTAAAATTAAGTAATTAGTGCAGATTAGTGCAGGATAATGCTAATTAATTTAAAGATAATTTAATGTTTATTTCACTATATTATATTACTACTAAGCTTACTATTGAGACAAGCTTTAAGAGAAACATTTATTGGAATAACTTATTATCCGTTTATAAATTAAAATATATTATAAGAATTTTAAACTACAGCTAGAGAGCTATATATTTACTCTTCTGTTATCAATTAGCCAAGATACCCTATATTATATTTGCAATATTTACATAGACACTAAACTCCTTTGGGCTATAAGCCTAACTCGGCTTGCCGATGCCGCCTATACCCGCCCATTGTTTGAGCTATGGCTGCCGCCTTTCCGCTTCCACTAATCCAAGCCTCATACCACCTGAACGCCTCTTACTATAAAATAATACCGAGGTCACGAGCTTTCTGCATGCTATATAAGAAATCATAGTTATTCAGACATTTAATTTCTTAATGTATTACGGATAAGAAGAACTTGTCAATAAATTGCATTTTTGCATGTTAGGCAGCCTCTTTCTATTGATTGAAAGGCGCTTGGGATAACATAAGGGAGGAGATCCCTGCGAAATCTTACAGTGCAATGCCAACCATCGGCAGAACCTTGAGTCAATTCCCACGATCTAGTGCCATACTAATTAGTTCGAATAATCATGACTAACGCATATCCTTTACCTGCGTGATCAAGTCTATAACAGTTCTTGTAAAAGGTTTGTAATCAAGACCTAATTCCCGACCAGCCGTCTCCCCATCCACGCCATGAGACTCATCGGGAGCCTGCACCTCTTTCGACACATTATCTGCCGCCCAGGAAAAATGTGATCCAATGATGGTGGCAGCCTTGCTGTATGTAAATCTCTCAGGGGACGCTGGGATATATCGCTTTCCGCCAGCCTCAGGCCGCAAAAGTGCCTCCACGTGAGCTTTGGCAAGGTCGCGAACGTCGATCCAGAACGGGACCCTGGCGACCGGGAGCGGAGACTCGCCGCAGGCTATTTTGAAGAGCATCTTGTTTGACTCATTCAGCGCGTCGACGCTCGTAACGGGGTGGCGTATGGGACCAAACGTCATGGGCGGGCAAAGGGTGACTAGGTCGAAGGAGGGTTTCTCTTTAGTCACGATGTCCCAAGCTTTGAGTTCTGCAAACTTCTTGGATCCACGGTATGCTATTACAGCACTTGTCTCTGGGTCAACCGACTCTTCGTATGATAAAGGGTTCCAGTCGTCGCCGGTGTAAGTGAAGTACGGCGGTGCCTTGCGCCTAGCATCAAGGACGGATGCAAAGGAAGATGTGATGACGACGCGCTTGACTTTCAGTGAAGAAGCCGCCGCTTTGAGGATAGAGTCAACACCGTTGATCGCTGGTGTAACCAACTCCTTCTCATTGTCCTTGGTGTCATACGTGAAAGGCTAGGTAAGGTCAGAATTTCCGTGATATTATTCAGTTCTTTCATAGCACGTACACTTGCCACATGAATAACGGCGTCAACGTCCTGAATGGCTTCTTCAAACCCCCCCGGACTCTCAAAATCGTCAACCTGAATGAAGTCAAGCTTCTCTCGAAACTCAGGCCTCGCATCAATCATAGCCTTTCCCTTCGATAATGATCGAGTAGCCCCGCGGACTTTCATACCACGCGACAGAAGTTGGTCGACAACGTGTGCACCGATAAACCCGGTGGCACCAGTCACCAAGACGTATTGTCTAATGAATTCAGATCAGTCAGTCGCTTTATTACAATGTGAGGAAAATGAGTGTTTTGACGAACATTGCGGGAGGCGAAGACACCATCTTAACAGGATTTGCTAAAGAGTATCAATCACAAAGAGATGGAAAATTGCAAGTTGTCATATACAATGTTACATAATTTGCTTTGTTATATTAACCATGTGTTTATATGGAGCCGGCCAATACCTTTTCACCTGTGTCGTAACGCATCAGGAACTCTCGATGCCTTGACTGTCGGTTGACGATGTGCCGCCTTACCCCGCGAACTAGCTGAGAAACGAGACACGGGCGTTCTGCCGTCTATCCCCGCCGCTTGCCTATACTAAGACTAATGTTAGACTAGCTCGTATTGAAGCGGGTTAATGCTTCCCGGATTTAATTCCTCCCTCGCGACTGTCACTCAGCATTCACCGAAGCGTGTATCAGCCGATGGGTTGTCTGATCAATTTCCCCGCACAACGTCCCACTAGCTCGAGGTTCCCCAGACCCCAGACCCCAGACCCTAGACCCGAACATCTGGCAACTAGCAATAGCGCCTGATGTAGAGACGGCGTCCCTGTGATTCTTATAAATGGCAACAGGCCATCACCTCCTTCGTCGTTTGATCTCATCATCATCCTCTCAAGATTGTCTTCTCTTCACCAGACTAATACTCAATGGCTTTGGGTAATCTCAGGGGCACGCCACTCCTGGTGTGTGTGACACTTGTAAATGCTGGTCAGAGACTCGTTAACTCTTTGATGAACTCTATGCTGATGCGTCTTGGTAGTCTCCATGTCATGGTTTGGTTACGACCAGGTAAGCTACTCATATCGTATCAGGTCCAGAAAGTCGCTCATCGACGGTGTATCAGGGCGTTTTCTCATCAGTTCTCATCTCAGCCGACTTCAAGTACTGGTTTCCCGAGACCAAAGTCGCGAGTATCTCCGGAATCGTCTCCAGTTGCTTCGCAGTGAGTGACAGCACATCTTTGACCAATTGAAATACTCAACAAGATTACAGCTGGGTGCCTTTTTTGGGGCCATCTTTGCCTTTGTCTGCGGTGACAAGTTGGGGCGCAAGAAGACCATCTGGGTTGGTCTCTTGAGCAACCTCATTGGCGCCGTCCTACAGATCGTATCATGGCATCTTCCTCAGATGATAGTCGGCCGTGTCATCAACGGATTCGGTATGGGTATGTCTCCAACGTACATCCTCCGCACTCAAGTTGAATTACAATCTCACGCCTTGGCTCGCAGGCATCACCTCGTCAACATGTCCCGTCTATCAGGCCGAATGCTCTAAGCCTCGCGTTCGAGGTAAACTCGTTGTCGTACAGTCCCTTTGCAACACCGCCGCCTTTTGTCTCGCCAATTGGATGAACTACGCCCTAGGTGTTCGAAGCGGCCCTATTCAGTGGCGTTTCCCCCTCGGCTTTCAGCTCCTATTCCCATGTGTCATTGCCATTGCGCTGCTTTTTGTCCCCGACTCACCTAGATGGCTGATGCTCATGGATCGACACGACGAGGCTCTTGGTGTTATAGCACGACTTGCTGGCAGCACCGCAACCACTGAGGACGTCGATGTCGTGACTGAGTTCCGGTCAATCCAAGCCACAATCCAACAAGAGCGCAATGAGACAGTATCCACGATTGATATGCTCAGGTGTCGTGACAAGACTCAAAACCTTCGCAGGATCCTTCTCTCCTGCGGTACACAATTCATGCAGCAGTTCTCAGGAGTCAATGCTCTCGGATACTACCTCCCCACCATGTTACAGCAGGTTCTTGGCTACAGCGCGCGCCGAAGTCGCCTCCTCACTGGTGTCAATGGCACTATCTACCTGTTTGCCGCCATTTGTTGTCTGTTCATCATTGACCGCTTTGGTCGCCGAAAGTAAGCTTTCACCTAGCCCAAGAATACCTCGTTCACCTAATGAACCTGCTAGGATGATGCTCTATGGAGCAGCGACAATGGGCTCGTGTTACATGATTGTGTCTATGACTCTTCTCGGCGCTAAGAATAACCCTGGCATGAAGGAGAGCGTACGTCATGGACCAGAGACACCCAAATTGAAGACAAAAAGCTAACGTCTTCCGTAGCTCGGCGAAGTCACCACTGCCTTCTTCTTCATTTACTACTTCTGTTATGGTACCAGCTTTGCCAAAGTCCCGTGGGTGTTCAACTCGGAAGTCAACTCTCTTGGCTGGCGCACGCGGGGAGCTGCAGCAGCCACGGCCACTAACTGGATGGGTGGCTTCATCGTTACTCAATTCACCAAGACTGGCGTCGACAATCTCAATTGGGGCTTCTTCCTCTGTAAGTGTCTAGCAGCAACACCCTTGAACAAACCGCTGATTGAGGACAGTATTTGCTGGCTTTTGCTACTCTTACTTCCCGATTGTTTACTTCCTGTATCCTGAAACTGCTCGTCGCACCCTCGAGGACATGGACCAGATCTTCATACAGAACCCAGGTCTGATTGTTTGCCGCGTTCCAGAGCTTACGCAGAGAGAGCGCCCTGAGACATTGATTACTCTTGAGCAAAAGCGAGTTGATAAGGCGGAGGTGGCTCATGTAACTCATGTGGACTAACTAATGTTGCTGTCTGATGCCGGAGATGAACTGCATGTAGGTTCATAGTCAGCCCTGGATCAGCCCCCTCCGGCCCTAATACAAGGTGTCAAGATAAATTTAGCAAAAGGTATACTCAGTTACTAAATATTGCTATCACTTAGGACTGGACGCTCGGGTTTTCTTTCTCCCTGGATGAAAACATGCAGAATTCCCTTTCACCGCTATTAGCTACAAGCAGCAAACAGTCCTTGCAGAAAAGTCTGAAAGCCACAAACCAAGACATATATGTCCTTTCAGAATGTCTCAGAACGCAGAAAGACGCCAACGAGGACGCTCGTCTAAAACTGATAAGCTATACTGGAGGATTGAGCGATGTGCTTTAGCTCTCTACATCAAGCCACGTACTGATACGTTGTACATATTAGGCAAGTGATTTATCTCCGACAACCTGACGGGTGGATATAGAAGCCATTCTAAGAGAATAGAGGAAGTTCATTCTATTCAAGATATATGCTTTTGTTGCCACTAAATGTGCCGATGGCCCGATATCGTTTCCGCCTAGAACCAATATGGGATTGCATACCACATCGTGAAGCCACGCCGCGCTAAGGCTATCAGTTCGGGCTAGTCCTGCAACTGAGACAAGCTGAAAACTATCAGTAGATTTACAGATATCTAGCGTGTAAGGTGGAGTTAAGTGGCCTGACTTTTGCAGAATGGCTTTCTCAAAACATTCCTAAATTGTCACGTTGCATACACACACACTTCTGGTGCTGCTACATATCCTCGGGGAGAAAAGTCAAATGATTCCAACTAAACCAAAAATCGCTGGCGTTCCACACATTGAGGGGTAGGTTTTTATCCTCCCATTAGATACATCACGTTTGAGACATGTATCCTTCTGTACTTGTGAAAGTATGTGATACTGTATCACATTTCCGAATTCAGTTCAACATGCATGCGCCAATCTCAGTAGTCAGTTATACCACTCCATAAGAGGCATGGCCTCAATAAAAGGTAAGACGGGACGGGACGAGAGGTGGCCATAAACAGTTTAGATCGACCTTGGATATGGAAGAGGCTGAAAGCTGAAAGCTGAACCGTTTATACGCGAATGAGGGTTATTACACCAAATCGCGGCGAGTCACTCCCATTCTTCAGTCTAAGGACAGTAGTGGAAGACCTGGTCTAGATTATTGAGTTCCTGGACAGGCTTGGACAGTATTACTGGTAGCGGCATAATTGCTCTGGGTATAAATATCGGTTGCGCGGTTCCCGCTGGTTAGATATTCTTACACAGCTTCTCAGTCTCCTTCGAACCAACTTCATTCAACTTTGAATCATTGAACTTCACACAAAGTCTTCTCATACCTCATTCACCATGGCCAAAGTCGTCACCAGAAAAAACATCCGGACCATGCCGGCTAACGAGCGCGATGACCTTGTCAGAGCGTTCGCAGGTATCCAGAAGCTTGACCCTACTAACCCCAACTCCTTTTTTATGATTGCTGGCTATCATGGCGAACCTTTCCGTGGTGCTGGTTGGGGTAATCCTCAATGGTGGGGAGGATACTGTAACCATGGCAATGTTCTCTTTCCTACCTGGCACCGTGCTTACCTCCACCGGCTTGAGAAGGCTCTCCAGTCCATTGTTCCCGGTGTCGCTATGGCATATTGGGATGAGACGGAGGAAGAGTCTCTCAAGTACGGAATCCCGGAATACTTCCTGACACCCACGTACACTTGCCAGAACAAGGAAGTCATTGATCCCAATCCGCTTTACTCTTACAAGTTCCAAGCAAACATCACAGATCATCTGTCCCCCATCCCTGATGCTAATTACTCCAAGGCCGCTGGTTATCAGACAGTGCGCTACCCATTCTCAGGTCTCGTTGGCACCGAGAAGGACCGGGCGAAGACTAAGGTCCATAACGACACGCTCAATGACTTGGGCATAGCCAAGACGAACCAGATGCTCAATGGGAACATTGTCACCTGGCTCAACGAGGTTACATTTGACAATGACGAGGGTACGACCATCAAGGCCAATGTCAGGTACAAGTACGGAGCTTGCTTGAATGCACCCAACTATACTGTCTTCTCCAACACCACTTCTGCCCAGCAGTGGAATGACGATAGAGCCGGTACAGATGGCTATGTTCCCATTGTTCCTCTTGAATCCCCGCACAACTCGATCCATCTGGCCGTTGGAGGTTTCCAGCTTGAGAAGATCGATGCGGACTTTAACCAGTACACCGGAGCCAATGGCGATATGGGTGAGAATGATACTGCCGCCTTTGATGTAAGCTAAAACACCCCTTGCCAGCAAAGTAAGGTGACTAACATAATCTGTTCTAGCCCATCTTCTTCTTCCACCACTGCTTCGTCGATCTTGTCTTCTATGAGTGGCAGAGGAAGAACAACGCCCTTCAGTCAATTGACATCATTCAGGGTTACCCAGGTACCAACTCTGTTGACAGCCAAGGCCCAACCCCCGGTGTCGCCGGCGGAACTTGGTTGACCCTCGACAGTGCTCTCGATCCGTTCAAGAAGCCTGGTAGTGAGACTGACCCCATGACGTCCCGAGATGTTGTCAATCCCGAGAGCCTGGGCTACAACTACCAGTACAACTACAACACACCCAACGATTTCAACGCCGGCGATCCCGCCCTCTTCGTTCCCAAGCACGAAGAAACCCCCATCCTTGCTGTCAGTAACATTAACCGCGCGGCAATCGGCGGCTCGTTCATGATTACTGCATTTGTTAAGAATAAGAACACGGGAGCGATGCAGCTTGCTGGTACTGAAGCAGTGCTGAGCCGTTGGCATGTCGCTGGTTGCGCGAACTGCCAGAACCATTTGGAAGTCAGGACTCATATCCCGCTTCATGGATGGAGCAAGGAAAAGGCCGATAAAGCAACGTTTGATGTCAGACTGCAGACGCGTGATCCGACGGTTGCTGACCATGTGAACTTTGGAGATGTTCCTACACAAGAGCAGATTCCAAGCTTTAGGGTCATTACCTCGCACATGACCTGATCAGATTGGTGTATATCGATACTTTATCTATTAGTAACTATGGGATAACTGCGGCCTATAAGGTTAACCTTTAGGCTGTAAATATAGATAATAAATAAGAATGCAGTTATTTTTTCTTAATATAAGCTTTTATTTAAAAGCTTTTATAATAATTATTATGTCTTTTTATAAGCTATAAGGCATTATAAAGTAAGGAGATTAAAAGGTATATAAAGAGATATAGCTTTAAGTTTATATATATATATATATATTACTATAATATAACTTAATATATAAAATAGTAACTATAAATATAACTGCTATTAATAAGGACTATATAAGCTTAAAGGCTTAATAATATATTATTAACTTTTTTATTAAGCTTATTGCCTTTAATAATTAAGTTATTTTAAATATATTTTAATAAGTAAGTTTTAAAATACTTTTAAAAATTATTATTAACTTAAATAAATAATATTCTAATTATATTATAACTTTTAATAAAAATTATATTAAAATTATACTTTTTAGCTATAAAGCATTTATTATAATTATTAAATACTTATATATTAATAGTTTTAAGAACTTTATTTATAATAATATTAAAAAGTTAAAAAGGTTAATAAAAGAAAAAAATAACAACTATAAATATAATATTATAACCTTAATTTAAATTACTACTTCTTTATTAATATTACTTTATCTGCAGTTTTGAAATATAAGGTTAATTAATTATATGCCCTTATATATATATTTAATTAATAGAGGTTAATTTAACTTTTACTAACTAACTTATATAAAAGTTAACCTAATTCCTTTAAACCTTTAGTTTAACCCTACTATTACTTTATATTTATCCTAGAATTCTATATACTTTATATTAAAAGTAGCACCCTCTCTACTATAATAACCCTTTTAGCTATATTAAAAAGCCACTCTTTATATATATTTAA